TGGGATATTGGAAATAACCTTCAAATTTCAGGGGCACACTAAATGGGAAAAGTGTTTCCTTGGATGTACTGATGAACATACTTCAGGACCAGAGGTGACACTGCTTTTCTGGGGCTCAGTGGTTCAAATTCAAGGTCCCTAGGAAGAGAGTTCAAAAGAGCTTGGTTAATTATAAAATAAACAGCAAAGAGCAGTTCCCCTCTTTTGAGGACTCCCTGCAGTGTTGCAGTGGCATTCCTGTCACATAGGCAGTTATACCTATTATTCTCAGCTTTCCTCAGCACCTTATAGGCACAGTGGTTCCTGTCTGTCTGTGTGGGCCTGACATCATGCTCAGCATCTAAGGGCATATAGTAAATGTTCTTTTTTTCTCGTGTTTAAAAAATTTCATATTTCCAAGCCCAAATTAATCAGTGAATTGTACCTGGGCTACACTTGTGGGCTTTTGTGCACTCAGATTAGGGATTTCCCACCCAAGGGCCACTCAGGGCAGAGATCTGGCCTGCTGATTGAACCCTTCTGAAATTCCTTGAATGTGACTAGGTATAAGGGCACTTTTTAGAAGCAGCAGGTCAAGTTAGTGACCTTTGCACTTCTGCTAGGCCAGGTGTGTGTGAGCGAGGGTGTGTGTGTGTGTGTGTGTGTATGTGTGGGTATGGTGCTACTCATTAGTTTCGAGAGTGTTTGGGGGAGTGGGGAGAGGTGGTAAAGAGGGGCTCACAATTAGGCAGACCTCCAGGACATTTACGAACACAAGGAATAACAACATCCTGTAGAAGGAGGGATAGACCTCAGTAGTGACTAGGGTGTCATTTTCAGATGGCATCCCACAGATGACCAACATAATTCCATTTGAGGAAAGAGGTAAATTGAGTGGATCATTTAGTAAATAGGTAAGGTGTCTGCTGCGTGGGCATTTCTACCTTCTCAGTAACCAGAGCCTACAGAAAAAGAAAGTAGAAACAGGCCAAGAGTTTGAAGCCTGAGTTTGCTACCCTACAGTGAACCTGTATACAAAGAGGAACTAGATCCACTGTGGAGAGAACATCCAGGAAAGGACATGCCTTTGTCTATGTTCAGTTGACAGATGTTACAGTTTTGTCAGGAAAACTTCACACTGACCAGTTCCAACCCCATCCCAGTTCTGTCTTGCTGGAATTGAGTGGAACATCCTATGACATAACATGTGCCTATGTTTTTAAAGGGCTAGACTCAGCTGTGTTCAGAGTTGGGACATCAGGCCCATTTTTAAGTTTTGTTTTCAAATAAAAATAGCTTTTTCTCCCTAATAATAAAAAGAGTTACCTACCCATTGCAGAAAATTATCCAATACAAGAAACATCTTATGATAATGCTCACCTGAAATTAAAACACTTTTTGGAACATTCTTTCACTAACTCATTCTGGGTGCATACCCTCATAAAAATATTTTTATAGAATTACATGTTTCTTATAATCTGATTTCTTTAAAACAATATATTATGTAGATAATCCTACATTAATGACTAAGTCAAAATCATCTTGTGATTGACCAGCTTATCTTACTGCATCAGAGTCTCTCCCAGAGTTCCAAACAGTGGCCAAATTTTTGTGCTGCTGGGATGGGATAATTTTTGAATAGGAAGGAAATCAGCAGCTAAGTCACCAAGAGAAAATATTAAAGCAGGTCTGGCATCTTTATCTGTCCCCAGTCCTCATCTTTCCCAATTGCTCTTACCTCCCTAGCTATTACTACCAGTCTCTCTTCTTTTTCTTCAAGAGCTGTTCTCCCTCAAAGACTAGGCAGGCTTTTTTCTAGGCACTGCTCAGTTTCTTGTGGATGTCTATTTGTTCATGAAAAATATATAACCAGCTCTTTACCACCTAAAAGGACCTTTTGGGTACTGCCCGTGGCCCAGAAGGATCTAACTTTCCATTTCTGTTTGGTTCTTCATTTTTTTTTTCCTAGCATTTTTGCACAGTGACCTCTCTAATCCTTCTTGTTACTCTTAGCAAAACTGGTTGTTCTAACCCTAGTGTGTGGCTTCAAAGTCAGCATTTCCTCAGGGAGGTTTTCTTAGCCACCCAACCCTAAAGTTCAGTGCTTCCCTTTGCTCTGCCCAGTGGCTACTTTTTGTGGTCATTTGTTTTCTTCCCTCTGTTTTGACTTCTAGGCTCAGGCAGACAAGTATCTGTGTGTGTGTGTGTGTGTGTGTGTGTGTGTGTAAGAGAGACAGACAGACAGACAGACAGACAGACTTTCTCTTGATTTGGGGACTAAGGGTATCTGAAAGAGGTGATGAGTGTCAGCCCTGGGGAACCTGCAGTCTGGTGGACACCTGAGCACAAGGGAAAACCCGCAAGACTCCTTGAAAAGAAATGGGAAAACAAACACAAAACAATAATAATATTGTTATTATTTTCCATCTGTCTTCTACCTTTTTAACATAAATTATTTTCTATAGTGCAGGCCATATGTTATGTGGAAAATGTGGAGTGGTGCAGTGACCTGCAGTCAGGGAGTAGTATTCCAGAAAGGCTTCTATCTCAATCTGGCCTGCAGCCCTTGAGAGTTCATCTTGCTTGGTTTCATTCATTAATTCTCAATCAAATGCATAGCAAGTGCCTAAGTGTCAGGATCAACCACAGCTTTAAAAAAAAATTATGTATAGAATCACACCATTCCTCATGATCCAGTGCCTTCCACCTCTTCCAGTTATTCCCCATTACTTAGCCTCAATCACACCTATTGCAGTTTCTGTTCATTTCCTCTTATTTTGTCTTTGGTGGAAAGGGGGAGCAGTTGCTCTCCACTCACCATGAGTCAGTTATTAGGTATTCATGGGCTGTTATATTTGCCTTTTAATAAATCCAAGCTTTTCTGAACTGCTCTATTGGGGCTCGCTGAGTCTTCCAAGGGAGGTGTACTAAGCCTGTTTCTGGCTCTGCCAGGCAGTGAGGGACAGGGAACACAGCAGTGCTCCTTGTATGGAATAAAGCCAGCTGGAGAATAATTGACAAAATAGAGTGAAAACCTGATACATGTGGAACAGGTGCTGGGGTGTCTGGTTGGTCATGGCAGATGAGAGTTTTCAAAACACATGGTCTAGTGTCTAGTGACCTGGAATGCATAGTCCATGTCCTGTCCATTTCATCCCTGGAGACATCCCAGTTTAGAGAACTGTGGAAGATGTGGGCTCCTGCAAAATGAGGTTTGGATCAGCTTTGGATTAAGCCTGGAGTTACCCCTCAGTGTTCACAGAAGCCATGTTCTAGAGACAAACTTCTCCTCTGGGGACTGAGCTGAAGTTGGATGAACTCTGGGAACGAGATTATGTTACTCAGGGTTTCTGGTTATAAGCAGCAGAGCCAGAACTCTAATATAAAGATTTTGGACTTTACACCAAGGCTGGGAAACTAAGCTTGGAAAATGGAAACAAATGGAGAAGTTGCAGCGAGAATATAGGTTGAAATAACAACCCTGACATGGACACCAGCCCACAGTGTCCTCAGTGTTATGGATAAGATGAGACGTTCACACAGACTACTGAGTCCTGTGGAGAAAAAGGGACAGCACAGTTACTCTCTCAAGGGGAGAGCACCCCAACCCTTGCCTTGACAGGCTTTTATTGGCTTTCTAATAGCATACATCAAAGAAGGTTTTCATTCATTATACTTAGGTTTGCTTTAGGTAATTACTTTTTACAGATAGCAACAGAAGGGATGTTACTGATGACTTCTTACAGATTAACAAGGAAAAAATGTTGCAAATGCAAGGGAACATAAGAGTAACAGGTCTGGTTATATTTCAATCCTTGGGAGAATTAGCACAGACTTCAGGAAGTTACTTTAAAGATATGCAGCAAGTGCTTGCTTACTGAACTCAGGGTGAGAGAGTTTTAGCAAAAAGCAAGTCACAAAGCAGCCTAGGTATAATGTGCCCCTGATTTCCCACAGGAGAACTTCATGGGCGTGGTCCTGTGTGACAACTCGCCCCCCCATTGGTTTTCCATGTGGGTGCTGAGCTACCTTTCCACATCCTGTGAAGTGGTTCCCTACACAACCCAGCACTGGTCTGGGAAGGACCCTTAACGTGTGCTGTATCCCCAGTGCTGGCCGGTTTGGCTGTGGGGTGTTCCTGCTGGTGTCCTTGTTAGCACTGCCCCAGACACCAGATATGGCTGCAACTGCTGCCTTTGCCAAAAAGGTTTTCCTTGTTCTCCTTTTTGCATCACTTATCCCTTAATCCTTCTCAGGAATGGGTGATCTGATGGGCTTTGCTGAAGCCTGGAGGGAAAATATCTGGTGTGTTCAGCTTTGATAATCAGAGATGAGCCTTGTCTTCCACAGCTTGTTGATGGCAACTTTTCAAACATAGAAAGACATTGGGTGGTTAAAACTGACTAGTGCACATTAAAGGGGTCCTGGGAATGAAAGCCACATGGTGTTATGCACCGGTTCATCTGATTATAGCTGGAAATCAGTCATCATTTGTCTGCTTAAGTTTATTAGGCACCAACTGTGTGCCAAACAGTGGATGAGGTGCTTTTCTATTCTTAATATCCTCTGGTACCCACTGTAATTTTGTGAGATTGTGGAGATGTGAAGGAGTTCAAATAGTAGTGTCATTTCTGAAGGGGGCATAGACTCCACACTGAGAATATTGGAGGTGAAGAGGATACTATACATTTTTGGGGAGACAACCTGAAGTGGACTCACAAGAGAGTGTCCTTGTGGGAAATTGGGACTGGGACAACAATGAGGTCATCCTGCTATCCTCATTTCCTACCTTCTTTCTTCCATATGGCATGATGACTTGGCCTTCTTCAGCTCTGGGAATACAGAGATGCTTCTTCTCACTGAGCTAGTGTGCTTGGCCCCTACTCAAAGACCCTTTTACTTCTTTGTGGGTGTCTTCTATGTTTCAGGGTTTATCCAGGTGCTTTTTTGGTGGCTTTTTCACATGCACCCCTACTTACCCTGGCGTGGGCTGGTGAAGTGTTTACCTTGCCAAAGGTCCGGATGGTACTCAGTACTAATGGCTCAAACTTTTTGCCTCTCCCTGCAGCCGTTAAACACAACTGGTGTCCTGAGCTCCTCTTCTGCTACTTCCAACAGGTCAAGGAATAGGACTCGCTATCGGACCAAAGCCTTGAGCTCCGAGGTAGATGAGAGCCTCTTTGGAGGTATCAAGGTAACTCTCACGCAGTTTCTCCAGGTAGCTGTCATGTGGAGGCAGTAACCTATACTAGTGTTGCTTAGGACAAAGCTAGCACTGGGCATGTGACTGCTCCTGGCAACTCTCAGTTGAAGGCAGAGGGGCCTTCTGACAGTCAGTAGTGGATCTCTGACATCAGAGATGTCAACATAAATAGGACATCAGGGGCCAACATAAATAGGACACCTGGTGTCCTCTACCTATTAAGTCCTCATGTCTGCACAGCATTGAAAAATATGTCATAATATTGAAGAGGAGGCTCAGCTGCAGAGAGTTGGATAGTTCCTTAGTGAACACTCCATGAGAAAAACATTTTAGGGCCACACTGGATCAATTTTGCAGTATAGAACAATGTATTTTCCTCTCTATCGAAAAAACAGCACCAGGGCAAAACACCATCATTCTCTTTTCCCAGGTGCTCAGCTAAAACAATTTCTTAGCTTTGGGAAATGAGCAGGTCTTTATTTGCAAATGTTGTACTAAGACATTGATAACTCAGTCTAAAAAGGAGAGCTGGAGTGTTCATTGGAACAATCTCGGTATCCAGGGAGTTCAGTAGGTGAGAAAGAAGAGAGGCAAGTCTAGAAAGACAATGAGACATGGAGAGAAAGGCAGTGAAAGATTAAAAAAGAGAGAGCAAAGATGTCAGTGGTGGCCTGAATCCTGCTGTGAATACCTTTGACAGCGGGAGGGTTGAGGAGAGAAGAAGTGACATCTACCTTTGCTGCTCACCATCTTCACTGTGAAGGGACTTTTCAGATGGTTCAAGACGGTATTCTTCTGCATTTAGATAACCTCCGTTCTGCAGCAGTTTTCCTGCTGACTATGGGAAGAATCAGAGGAATGCAGTTTCACTTACATTTTTTTGTTTTGGGCCCAGGGTGACCCTTCTAGTGAAAGCAAAATAGATTTGGAAATGGCCGAGTTTCCTTCCTGCTGACTAGCAAAAAGGGCGGTCAGAAAGATGCCTTGCTTATTCCTGGTCCTGTTTTTTTGACCTTACTGCTGGGTGAGAGTCCTGGAAGTCTCTCAACCAGCAGTAGGGGGCAGATGGGGCCTGTGGTATGACTGACTTGTGCCCACTTGGAAGCAGAGATGGGCACCAGGTGGCAGCAGCAGTCTGGGACCTCTGTGCAAATGAGGTTCTAGGGAAGGAAGGACTTCCACTGAGGCCACCTCGCTGCCTCTTCTCAGCACCGTGCTTACTGCATTAATGATAAATGAAGATCTCTGTGGTGTTCAAAAGTTCTCTGAAATAAGTGATTTTCTTTTCTTATTAACTTCTTAGTAAGAAAATTTTGAAAAACAAATCATATCTAATTTGTATTCTTGCTGAATTCTAATTCTCTGACTTTCTCATCATATTAGATTTAAGGGCACATCTCCACCAGGCCATTTAGCCACTTCTCACATCCCCCATTTGGACTTCTTTGGGGATCAAAGTAAACTAATCATTAGAAAGTATTTAAAAGTGAATATCATAGATTGGATGAGTCTAACAAATTGTATTGCTTCAAGCCTATAGTGTGGTCTAAGAGAGAGAATTATCCCTCCTTTTATAAATCATGGAAAGAGGATGAGAATTTAGAGGCCTACAATTTTTTAAAAGATTTTATTTATTTATTTTTAGAGAGTGGGGAAAGGGAAGGAGAAAGAGATGGAGGAAAATGTCAATGTGTGGTTGCCTCTTGCACACCCTCTACTGGGGGCCTGGCTCACAACCCAGGCATATGCCCTGACTGGAAATTGAACTGGCAACCCTTTGGTTCACAGGCCTGTGCTCAATCCACTGAGGTGAGAGACCTACAGTTTTTATTCCTGATGTTTTTAGGTAAAGTATGTACACATACTAGCAACACCCTCCGCCCCCTTCCTATCCATCCAGGATTATCTGTGTAAGTTATAGAGAGGTCTTGTTCTCAGAAGAGCCGGTCAGTACCCGACACATCTGGCCATGTTCAAGTGCAGAACAACACACCGCTTTCTCAGTGCCCTGGCTACTCTTGGTTGTCCTGCAGTCTGGGCCCCAGCCAGCCTCCCCTGCCACTGGATAGGTGAAAGCCTCAGGAGAGTGGAATGCTGCACTTGAAATTAGGACTCACTAGAGGAAGTGAGGTGGCCAGCTTCTAAACTGTCCTTGCTGAACTCACAGCCCTCGGCCCAGAGTGATAGCCCCATCGTGCTGCTCCAAGATAAACAGGCCATTCGGAAAAGTTTCACTGCTTTGGGCTTGGACCACAAGCCGGAGACCATCCGGCTCATCACCCGAGATATGGTCCGGGAACTCATGTGAGTATCAAAGGTCATGCTTTGCCTTATCCCAGACTGCACTTCTGCTGAGGACTTGAGGATTCCAGGGCATGAGGAAATCCACCTGGTTTCATTGTTAATCAAGTCTTTTGTCTTCATTTCCCCTATCTGTTTCATGCTTCTCCTTCTTCATTTTTGGCCTCTTTCTTTTTTCCTCTCTTGTATCTGTTATTTCCACTATCCTTGATTCCCATCTTCTTTCTCTGTCTGTCCTTCTGCCTGCTGTGGAACCTAAGGGAACTTGTATAGAGGAGGTGCTTAATGGATCCTTCCTGAGCCCCATGTGTGCACTTGGTAAAGGGAATGGTCCAGATGAATCACTTCCTTTTGGCTGCATCAAGAATCTGAAGCAAAAGGAAACTGACCAGATGCCTAATTAGGCCCTTGACTTCTTCTCAGGCTCTGAGGACAAAAAAAAGGAAATTCCCACAGGCTGTTGGTTTCTTTGGGAATTAGGTCAGCATAGCTCTCAAACAGAGCTGCCCCCTTGCTTGGCTCCTCCTATGGGGTGTAGGCCTCACTGAGTAATGTGAAATGAGCCAATATTGTTGCCCGGTGGTTTAGCTCTTGTGCTAGTAGTTCATTCTCTGAAACCATTCTTCCTGCTCTGGCCCCACCCACTAAAATCTTGAATTTCTAGAAAATGCTGCCTGTGTCATGAGCTGGGGAGGTACAGCTAGGACACAGATCCAGGAGCACTTTATGGTTAGCCCTGGCATCAAACAGCCAGACTTGGTCAGCAGCCTTGTGGCTATCCCTGGGGCCTGAGAATTGGTTCCTTCTTAAAGGGTTCTAGTCCTGAAAATACACTGGAAGTGAAGTAGCCGGTTCCTTGTCAGGGCTGCTGAAAGCCCACGAGACGCTTTTGTAGATTCAGATTATTCCTGATCATTCCAGATTCTAGGCTGTTTCGAACCATGCCTCTTAGTCAGCCAGTATATCTTGGCTAAGTCCCATTTGCTCCACCTCCTGGACCTTCCCCAAACACTAGTTTAATTAAATGAGGTTTCACTTCCTGCCTTAGACGTCTGTGTCTCATTGCCATGTGCCTGTTAAATGGCCTCACCTAGAAGCAGCTTTATTCCTACCCCCTGTATCCCCCACCTCCTCCTTTAATGTATGTCATTTATTTGTAATCATTATAATTACCTATTGGTTTGTTGAATTGTTGGGTGGCTGGAAAGGAGAGGTCTATAGACATGTCTCCAACTGTTGTTGATCAGACATTTTAATTAATATTTAGGGTCAAAGCATCTCTCTGGGCTGAATGGATAGGGTGTTTAGGATTCTTACTAGCATTCATTTCAACCTGTCTGGCATCTCTGCCCTTTTTATGTCATCCTTGAGGAATAATCTATCTTTAAAGTTTAATTCAGCAGCCTTGTTTTGAGTTCTTACTCTGTACCCAACACTGGGCCAGAGACTAGGCTATGGTTAAGACACAGACCATGTCCTAAAGGAGTAATCTAGCAAGGAAACAGGCTTTGCCCAGCTGGCTATAACACAGCCAGTGAGAGCAGACCATGGTGGGTTCAGAGCAGGAGGTGGTCTGTTGGGTCTCCTGGTGGGGGAATCTGCATATGTGTACATTGTGGGGAGGGCTATGGATGGCTATAAGAGATGGCGACATACAAGCTGGGCCTTTTAGAATAAGTTCTTAAAATGTCCCTTTGGAGCCCATGATGCTACTTTACCTTCTCCTGGGACATCTTCTCCTCAGTAGGCCCACAGTGCAATTGGCAGTCTCTCCTCCCACTGGCCATGTTTGTGCAGAGGGTTGGCTGTGATGAGGGGAGGAAGAGAGCAGAGAAGCCTGAAGTGTAATGTGGAGAACTTTCTTTTGCTTCCATTCCCTAACTTTGTTCATTCCTCATGTCAGCATTCCTACAAAGGATCCCTCTGGAGAATCCCTTATCATGAGTCCTGAGGAGTTTGCACGGATTAAATGGGCATCCCATGTGCTGACCAGAGAAGAACTTGAGGCCAGGGAGCAGGCCTTCAGGAAGGAGAAGGAAGCCATCTTGGTACCTAATCCCTTGAGCTCTGGTCTCTACAGATGGGAGGTAGAAGAGAGATGTGCGGGGGAGAGGCCAGCTTCCCATGAGACTGGAGACTCTAGTTAAGGGACCCTGGAACAAGGCATGGATGGAGACATGCTATAGAATAAAGACCAGTTGCAGGAGCTACTAGGGGGAAAGAGGAGGGGTGAGGATAAAGCCAGGGTAAGAAACATCTGGGTTCTGATGGCATGATGGGGTGGAGCAAAAATCACATTGGCTTACCTGTGGTAGTCGAGCTAGTGCCCAGGAAACAGCACAGGGAGCAATACCACACTGATGCAGTCTGGTCTTCTGTAGGATGCAGTGATCACACGTAAGAAGGTCATGAAACAGAAGGAAATGGTTTGGAGGAACAACAAGAAGCTCAGTGACCTGGAGGAGGTGGCCAAGGAAAGGGCCCAGAACCTGCTGCAGAGAGCCAACAAGCTACGGATGGAGCAGGAGGAGGAGCTCAAGGACATGAGCAAGGTTGGGGCTCTACACTTTTTTCCCCTCTTATTCACGTACTGGCTCCAGCTGGAGAGGGGGCAAGGAGAGGGCAAGGTAAGGGGTTCACTGGAGTGAAGTGGAGGTGAGACAGAGTTGCATCTGCTATATAATTGTTGTAATCAGAGGGAGCACTGGCTTTGCCTTGTGTTGGTTGTGTGACCTTTGGCAAGTCGCTTGACCCCCGAGCCTCACTTTCTTCATTTGTAAAGTGAGGCTGGTAAAATTACTTGGCAGAATTAATGAACTCATATATGGGACAGGCTTTGCACACTGTAGATCAATAAATAAATGAGAGGATTTTACTTTTATTTTTATCCTGCTAGTTCAATTCTGGCCCCAGAGGGTGGTCCAGGCATTTGGGTTCTTTTTGAAGTACCTTAGCCGACAGTATAAAGACCAGAGGCTCATTTGAATTCTTCATTGGCATGTGGTTTACTTCCCAACCAAATGAAAAATGTTGACTCCCCAACCCCTTTATCTATGATTTCTGTCTATCAGGTTAATCTTTACCTAATACCTTCTTTTATTTTCTAAAGCTTTTGCTTTGTGGTTCTTATTGATAGTCCTAGGTTTTCATCCCCTTCTACATCACACTGGGCTCTTCCAGCTTAAAAATTTGGTGGCTTGGCCTCTGCAAGAGTGTTTTAGTTTTCCTGAGGATAGAACAGGGGTCTCAAATGGGATTTATGGGTCCCTAATGGAGACCATAACCTCTAAAGTTTCATGGAGATTTTCTTGTCTATATAAGTTTTATGGAGGAGGGATGCCCTTAGCTTTCATCATAGTCCCAAAGTGCGATACATGGCCCTTGACACTAAGACCAATTTCCCTGAAAGAAGCACTTAGCAGGGGCCCAGTAAGCGTTGTTTGAGTAATATTAATGGGAGTGTCAAATATAAGAATGTTCTTGCTTTTCTGGGCTTGTCAGCAGCCATGTGCATTTTCAGCACACTTTATAGTATTCTGCTCCCATTTCTCTCCCCTCCGACTTCTACGCCCTCATGTAGATGCATTCCTCTCTAACTTAGGCCCAGACCTAGTGCCACAATTTCATTTCTACTCCCCAGATCATCCTTAATGCCAAGTGCCATGCCATCCGGGATGCCCAAATCCTGGAGAAGGAGCTGATCCAAAAAGAATTGGATGCAGAGGAGAAGCGGTTGGATCAGATGATGGAGGTGGAACGGCAGAAATCCATTCAAAGGCAGGAGGAACTGGACAGGAAGAGGAGGGAGGAAAGAATCCGGTAAAGAGGTTTTAATGTCTTTCCTTCTGCCATTTCCATGTATCTTTAGGTCCATGTAGGCTTTTAGAGAGGTAAGAGATGAGAAATAACCATTATCATCACCTATTATTATCTCAAAACCTTTATGAAGTGATTTGTGGAACCACAGAACTTCGTAAAGCTTATTTCCAAGATCTTAACAGGTGCTTCATGATCTGGCCTTGATTCAGCCTCATTTGTCATCATTTCCTGCCATCTGCTCTGCATTTTCTCCCATCCTGCAACATGGTAGATCTTGTCACAAGTTCATGATCTTGCCATGTCTTGTCATTCCCACTGTTTTGAGTATCCTTTTTTTTTCATTTCTCCTGGAAAACACTGTAGTATTTTTCTTTTGTTAGTATGTAGTTTACTGTCACGTCCCCTGAGAAACCTCCCTAACTTCTGCAGACAGGCTCAGTGGCTCTGTCCTCTGTGTCCCATCACACTGTGCTTATACCCAGCACACCACTTTTTGAAATGTGGCTCTCTGACCCTTAGTAGACTACATAGTCATGGAGGACAGGGTCCCTATCTCATTCATTTCTGTAGCTCCTTGGCCTAGCAGAGTGTTTAGCTTATTGTAGGTACTTAATACATGTTAGAATGAATGAATTTAGTTCTCTTCATTTTATAGGAAAAGATAAGACCCAGAGCAGATAAATTATGGAATTACAGTGTCCTAGATTTAGTACATCAACCATAAAATACAAAAATCACCTCTATAAATACTACTTGTATGATACTGAATGGTAGTTCTCTTTTTTCATTTGTATTTTGTTCTCTTGCACCATTCATCTCTGGACTTCTAATAGGTACCTGGTACACTATCATAGGCTTCCACTAAAAGTTTATTTAATGGCTAAGTGACTCTTCATCTTTTGCACAAATAGCTCCAATCAAGGAAATATCTTTGCCTTATTAGGCAGCTCTAATGATTTGAGCTGGTACTTGTACTGAGTTCAAGCCTGCTTCCATGTAACTCTTACTCATTACTCCTGTCTATTTAATTTGGAGTCATAAAGACATTCAAGCGTTCTATCTGAATGACTTTTTTATTCTTTCTTCTAGATTATCATTCTAATCTGTGTCTTCTCTCATTCTCCCAGACTTTACTCATATATAATGGGGTCTGGGTGCTTCCACATTTATTGACATCTGAATAACACATAGGGAGCCACAGCAACAGTGGTCGTAGAGTGTGGTTCCACATACACAGTCTGTTCACTAGTATCGGACAGTCTCAAAATGTGAAATAGGATATTAGAAAGACAGTTGACAAACTATGCATGGGGTGATAGCCAAGGCACTGGAGGAAGGAGAAGCCATGGGCTTTTGAATTCTTGAAGCTCTGTGAAGAATCTGTGAACTTTGTGAAGCTATGTAATTACGAGAAGTCAGCTCCTTGTGATTAGTCTGGAAAGGCTTGGGAGGTGGTAGGATTTCAGAAGCTCTTTACATGCTGAAAGAGAGAAGGTGCATTATGATGTGAGGTACACTCTTAGGAGCAAATGAAGAAAGGGAATATTAAGAAATATGAACCCCATTACCAGGAACTCAGAAGAGATCCCCTTGAGACACTGGGGAAGGACTTTGGTCTGGGCTCAGGAGACATAGCAATGGGTAAGGCACTTTTCTAAATTGTTCCTGCCACACCTCCCATCCTGGGAGTCATTTGGGTGAAAGTTGGAGCATAGAGACACAGATCCTTGATTTCTAAAACAGTGTGGCCCTGTTTCCTCCAGAGGAAGACGGCACATTGTGCAGCAGATGGAAAAGAACCAGGAGGAGCGATCGCTGCTTGCTGAGCAGCGGGAGCAGGAGAAGGAGCAGATGCTGGAATACATGGAGCAACTCCAAGAAGAGGATCTCAGGGTAACAGGGCTGGACAGATATGCCAAGTTCCAGCAGCACCAGCAATAAAGCTCTCCAAGATTTGGAGATTCCAGGGCATGGACTAATGTTTTGTCAGGCACACGATCACTTCACAATATCATACCATTAACTTCTTTTTATTGCCATTTGAACATTTATTTGGCTTTGGTGCCATGCTAAAGATGAGCAGTGACTTGGATAGAGACAGCCCTTTCCTCCCTGGGACCTAGGTCCAAAACCAACATGTTCATGTGAATGAACACATAAAATAAATATACGGCTGCTTGCCCTACACAAATAAACAAGGGTATTTTTTGGTCTCCCCTCAAATATCTAGGGATATTATACATTTTGTAGATGAACAGTAGCAGTGTCAGAGTTTCAGGCTCCTGCTGTTACCTCATTCAAAGTACATAACATCCTAGTGTCATTAATTGTGTCGAGGAGTAAAAGTATGCATACTCTTTGCATAAGAAATGATGGTATACCTGCCCAAACTAAGTAGGCTTAAAAATATTCTCTTCCATTTGCCTTCTCTAGTCTATTGCAGTATAAAAAAGCACAGCAAGGACATAGCAGGCATTTGGAGTATCTATTATTTTTCCCTAATTTTTTTACTTTTGAAAAATTTATACACACAGAAAAGTTGAAAAAATTGTATCACATCCATCAATGCTTTACTGATTTAATGATTGCTAATATTCCTTAGTTGTTTATCTCTCTTAGATGTATATGTGTATTTTGTTATTGTTAAACTGTTTAAAATAGTTGCTGATATCTTGACACTTTGCTGCTAAATGCTTCAGTCCACTTCTCTGAAAAACAAAGCAACAAAGTATGCATGTCAACAATACCATTATGTTGTCTACCATTATCCCCTGACAAAAAGTTGAATCCAGTGATTCTATATCATTTAATATTTAACTAATATTCAAATTTTCTCAATTGTTTAAAAAATGTATTGCGGTTGTTTTCTTTTTTCCAAACCAGGATCACTCACTTAAGTCCCTTTAATCTGTTTTGATCTGGAAGAGTTGTTCTGTCCTTCCTTTCTTCCTTCCTTCTTTCATTTATTCATTCATTCATTTTTAAAATTAAAAAAAAAGTTTTCTATTGATTCTAGAGAGAAGGGAAGTAGGGGGAGAAAGAGAGAGAACCATCAGTGTAAGAAACATCAATCAGTTGCTTCCTGCACATGCCCCAACTAGGAACTGAACCTGCAACTTAGGCATGTGCCTTGACTGAGAATCAAACCTGTGACCTTTCGGTTTGTGGGATGACACCAACTGAGCCACACTAGCCAGGGCTCATTCATTTATTTTTAGAACACTGATATTTTGAAGCATCCAGGTTGGTTGACTTGAAGAATGTCCACACTGTGGTTATTTCCTCATGGTGCCATTTAACTTGTGGAAGATGTATGCTTTTATTTCTCTCTTCCTTCCCCATGTTCATGGATGAATGAGTTGTCATTTAATAGTGCATTTAATAGTGGTGAGTGACAGGGAGTCCCTGAAGAAGTCTTATAGTTATGAAGACTTCTCAGAGTACCTGTGGTATGAGAGGAAGATCACCTGGATAGTTAGTGAAGACGAGGGACCATGTAGCCTTGTGAACTACTTGAGAAGGCAATCAACAGTGCAGGAAGACAGAGAGACCTGGTCAAGTTCCTGGCTAAAGAGAGAAAAAGGACCAGGAAGGAGAGGTCTGGGATAAACACATAGGGAAAAGAGTGAGAAATGGAAGCTGGAAAGTCCGACTAGATTGAGGTGAGTGGGGATTAGTGGGCTCACTGAGAAAGTTCAGGTGTCATTGAGTCAACACTATTACATTGATGTCTCATTGTCATTTTGCTGTTCTTCTAATAGGCATTTGTCTGAGTCTCCAGGAAGTATTGTTAGGCAATTTTAAGGTAAAAACCTGTGCTTCTCCAGCTCACATTTGCCTTACCATCTCAGGGTGGTGTGAGGACAGCTTTCCTCACCTTGCTAGCAAGATGGCAAAGAGTGAGGGGGGTTCATCTGGGGTTGCTTTGGAATGGCTTCAAAGATGAGAAACAGGGAAGGTTCTTTGGTTTCTCAGAAATGAAATGAACCAAGAAAAACAAAACAAATAAATAAATAAATAGGCAAAAAATAAATACCTGATTGTATGATATATATCAGAGATCAGCAGCTTTTTTAGCTTTAAGGGTCAATGAGATTAAATAATGTCTGGGGTACCAACGACAGGCCTAAAACTGAAGAAGAAGGTAGAAAGGAAAGGAAAAAAGGGAGAAGGGGAAAAGGAGTGTGAGAGTTGGAGTGGCAAAAGGGGAAAAGTGGATTATGCAAGGAGGTAGGTACAGTGAGAGTGAGGGAATGCTGGTAGCCACGACTCAGGCTCCACATGGACCTGGCTAGAGGCAGACAGTGCTGTGCTGACCTGGTTCAGAAAGCTTCCTGGGAGAAGAACCGCTGAACTGGGCAGTGAACCAGGCTGGGGGAGAGAGAAAATTGATTTGCCCTGGGTGAGGCAGGGTAGAAGCTGGGTTGAGAAGGTTTTGGGAGACCAGGGAGGGGTTTAGCCTTTGAAGAAATGGAAGGAGTTGGAAACTGTGGAAAATAGGGTGAGTTAGTGGGTAGAATAATTTGAAGTAAGGAGTCCAAGTTTATTTGGAGGGTATAGGGAGAAAGCTGCACAAAATTCCTGTGTCTCTCAGCACAGAGTCTTGAGAATATGCTTGGCTTAGAAGTTGTCTGATCAACAGGTGCTTCCAAAAGCCCAGGGCTGGGAAAGGCAGAGGCTTCTTCCTTAGAAGGGATCTTGCCATTCAGTGTCACATTGGTTCTCTGATCTGTATCACTCATGTTTCCCTGTGCCTAAGATTTTTTTTCTCACATGCCACTCATATTGGTTCCCACTTCCCTGCCTCATTCAGCAAAAGGTTATTGAGTATTTTCTGTGTTCCTCTCAATTGGGCTACGTGTTGTTAAGAAAGAGAAAGTATGACACATGATCCCTGTTCTCCAGCTGTGACAGAATGAACACACAGAAAATTCATGGGACCTACAAGGTGGTATATTATTAAATCTCAGGAGATGTGGCACCATCTTAATTGCAGATAGATAATCAGCAATGAAGAAAGAATTAAAACTTGGGGCAGTTGAGTGAGATTTCCAGAGAAGATTGGAACTTTATTTTAGATCAGATTTTAAAATTCTGGCTCTGCAGTTTATTAGCTGTTTAGTCCTGGGAAAAATCACTTGAACTCTGGGCCTCAGTATCTTCATCTGCACAAGAAAAGATAACAAGGCGTAACTTTCAGGATTTGGAGATGTGTTAAAGTGTCAGAGATGGGCTTATGTTCTCAATAAATAGAAAGTACCCAATTAGGGTAATACTTATTTATTTTTTTATTTTTTACTTATTTTTTTAAGATTTCATTTATTTATCTTTTAGAGGGGAAGGGAAGGAGAGAGGAAGAGAAACATCAATGTATGGTTGCCTTTCATGCATCCCCTGCTGGGAATTGGCCTGCAGGGAACTGGTCTGCAACCCAGGCATGTGCCCTGACTGGGAGGGTAATACTTATTTAAAATAATTACTATTGATGACCAAAAGTTTGGGTTTAAATAGAAGGAAATTGAAGGCAGGAGGAACACATCATGAGCAAAGCCTTAGGGATGGGGTTTAGCATGACGTGGGAGACACTGATTAGAATTTTAAGATTCTACACTTCCTGAGAGTATACACAGACCAACAGTGTCAGAGGCCACCACAAAGTCAAGTTGAATGAAGACTGTAAAGAGGCCACTTAACTGGAAGAGATCATTGACAACCTGTGAAAGAACAGCTGTAGCAAAGGATAGCTTTGGAAGTATTTGTCTCCCTGCGTCTATGTGTGTCTCTTTATCCTTATATGCCAGTATTTTTGGTCTTGTCCCCTTCTACTCTGAGGCTCTCTTTTTTTTTGCTGGTAGGACATGGAGCGAAGGCACCAGCAAAAACTGAAGATGCAAGCTGAGATTAAGCGCATCAATGATGAGAACCAGAAACAGAAAGCAGAACTGCTGGCTCAGGAGAAGCTGGCAGACCAGATGGTGATGGAGTTCACCAAGAAGAAGATGGTAGGGACCTGGTTTCTGATGCCTGGGACTGCTGACCAGGAATGAAGTGTTTTTCATAGGGAGAGGCAGGCCTGAGAACTGAAGGAACTCCAGGGCAAGGCAGCACCATCTTCATTCTAAAACTTTAGTCCTTAGTTCAATGTCTTGGCTTCTTTTTCTCTTCATCTTGGCCAGTCCACTTATTCCTTAACAGAGAAAAACATGGAAAAAACACCCAAATTAGGGTGTTATTATCCTTGTTAACACCTTTGATTAGATGTGGGAATGAGGGTCAGGTGCAGCCAGGGAAGAAAATTAAGAGTATTGGTGAAAGTAAAGTTTTCTGTGGATTCCTCATAACCTGGATACGATATACTCAGTAATTATGAGTCAGCGTCCCATAAATTTCTTGTGAAAATTATTATATTTGGCATCCTGTACTGGGTGTTAGACTCAGAAAAGAGTCTTTTTTATCCGCCACTGTAGAATCCATAAAAACAAATGAGCCATGGAACAGAGAACAGTACTTGCAATTGTTATGAGGGGATGATAATAAAGAATATGCATGCTCATTCTGGAGCAAATATGGGATATTGAAATGATTGGGTCTAGAGCAGGGGTGTCCAACTCATTTTCACCGGGTGCCACATCAGCCTTGTGGTTGCCTTCAAAGGTCTGAATGTAGAGCTCCTTGCCCCTAGTTAAGGAGTAGTTACATTTATACAGTCCTAAAATTACATTCAGCCCTTTGAAGGCAACCATGAAGCTGATGTGGCACCCGGTGAAAATGAGTTCGACACCCTGGTCTAGAGGAGTGGTGGGTAAAAGAAGCTTCTAAGCATGGTTTAGATGGAGTGAATATGAATTTATATAAAAAGAAATGGAAGGACTCAAGGTGGCAGGAAAGTTATTCAATTCTATGTGTGTTGGTCCTGTCCTCTAGTTTTGAGGTTTCATAATGACAGAGGGCACATTATATTTCTCTATAGTAATAAGTTTTAATGATGGACAAGGGGAGGGTGGGTATAATTTGAAAAGGTATATGTAATATACAACATACTCCAAATGCAAACCACAGAAAATGAAGCTCAACAAAGCTTATTTGTTGGCTTTGGCTTTCTTATTAGATGCAGGAATATACAGGCAATAGTGAGAATGCAAGATGAGGGTCATAGATGGTTTGTGCATAATAGCGATCACACAACTGCTGTTTGTTGAGTGCTTAGTTTGTACACAGGCTCTGCATCAAGTACTTCACAAGTGTTGTCTCATTTATTTAATCATTACAGCCACCTTGTGAACCTAGTCACTGATTGATTCAAAATGTCCTGAATGCTTCAATGTGTGTCCACTGTCAGTTTAGGCTGAACATACCTACACTCATAGTTTGGAACTCAGTGGCTATTTCTCTGAATGTCGAAGTTGGTAAACAGGTTTGCTGGCTGCAGCAGAGCATCTGTGGTGGTCATGATAAGAAATGAGGTGGTGAGGTGACAGAGAGCTGAGAGCAGTTGTTGAGGATGACTTGGATCTTGAACAGAGCTAGAAGATGGAACAATGAGAAATCATATATTTCTGGGCAGGAGAGGAATATGTCTTATCTTCATAAATGGAAAGAACATTGGCAGAAGGAGTTACAAGAGGTCACAGCCCACTGTAAGTATCCAACTATATGACAAGCCCTTTGCTGATCTCACAGTGATCTCTGTTGTTGCAGCCAGGGCTGCCTCTTTAGAGCTAATTGTCTGTGGAAACCTCCAGAGTTTTCTGCCCTGCCATTTAGAGCAAGAGAGAACAGAGAGACCAGCTTGACACACAGAATGTGCACAGCTTAGAAGTGGGCAACTCATTGAGCTGCACCGAAGTCTAGGACAATAGAATGAGGGCTAAGGAATGTTTCTTATGGGAAGATCACATCTCCACACAGCCTGAGCTATTACCCTATGATTTCCCCAGAATGGTTGTTGGGAGACTGTGTTTGGTAAATTTTTAGGGATATATGTTATTTCAGAGGAGTAGCAAAGGGAGTTAATTTTGATGGTTCACTTCTTGGGTATTTGCCAACCACTGTGGGACTGCTCAAAGCATGTTGGCCATTTGCCTAGGGACTAATGAGATAACCTCCACCTGTTAAATTTTACAAGCCAAGCAGGGAGCCCCAAGTTTTACTTCAAAAAACTTGGCCCAGTGTAACTTGTTACAATTGTAACTTGTAACTTGTTACCTTGTAAATTGTGAAGTAGTAGAAAGAGTATAAAGGCTATACTCAGAAAACCTGCATTCAAATCCTGTTTGATAGCTGACTAGCTATGCAATCTTAGGCAGGACCCTTGATCTCTATGAATATCAGTTTCTTCATCTATAATGTCTGTCTCATGAGATATGAGGACCCTGTGGGATAATACAGGAGAAATCATTTTATAAATGCTAATTGGTTTTATGTCCTTGCATTGCTAGTCATTTTACCCTACTAAGAGTCCAGGGATGGTAGGGGAGATACAAGACAGACTGGTACAGGGGCTTGATTTCTCTCTGCAAGGCTGTCTCAATGAGAGCAATTCTACAAAGCGTTTCTTTTTTGCAGGCTCGAGAAGCAGAGTTTGAGGCTGAGCAGGAGAGAATCAGGAGGGAGAAAGAGAAGGAGATTGCCCGCCTGAGGGCCATGCAAGAAAAGGCCCAGGATTACCAGGCAGAACAGGTACTGTTTAGTCTCTGCTTCCCTCTACCTCTCCCATTTACTTAATTATTCCTGTGACAGCCTATAAAATGGTCTAAAGGGTGGAGAGATTTACAAGAAAGGATGCTAGTTATCTAGACTCCAATCATCTAAAGAAGTGGGCCTGTGCCCAGTGTCTATGGCAGTAAGGACCCAATGCGCATATGGGCTTAAGGTTCAAGAGAAAATTTTTGTCAGCTTTGTAGCTGACAAAATTTTTCAACCTTAACTTTTAAACCTTAAGAATTTTCAACCTTAACTAGCCACTGAAATGTGTCACCAGAGGAAACTGAAGCATCTCTGTTATCAGCAGCTTTAAAGATTGGAAGCAATTTCAGGACTACCTGGATGTGTTTGAGGTATAGGAAAAGAATTGGGATGAATAAGCTGAAAGGACAAGATGACTCCCTCAGGGTATCTTCTGACTGAAAGTTCTATGATAGGATTTCATTTATTCTTTCCTAGAATAACCTTGTTGCTAGAGAAATTCATGGACCTTCTCAAAGCAGTTTGTGTCAAAGGCTATGAAGGGGGTGTCTTCCCTCAGGTAACTCGTTGTTTTGCAACTGTACTGGTATTCCCCACCCTCTCATTTCCCAGGATGCCTTGCGGGCCAAGCGCAACCAGGAGGTTGCAGACAGAGAGTGGCGCAGAAAGGAAAAGGAAAATGCACAGAAGAAGATGGAAACAGAGACCAAACTGCGGAAAAGTCGGCTGGAGCAGGTGGCTTTAAAAGAGCACAGTCTTGCTGTTCAAGTGCAACGGGACCGAGATGAGTTTGAGAGGATCCTTCGGTAGGAGGGGTGGGAACCTTGGCTTTCTTTCCTTGTAGTGTGGCAAAAATGTCTGTGTTGGGTAGAGAAGCTTTCTGACCACGTCCACGGACAGATGCACATCCACCTTGACAGGGTTGGTGGGTCCATTCTAATTAGATGAATGGATGAAATGTTTCAGATACTTGAGCTGATTAGAGAATTGAAAAATGGCATCTGAAAGTGCTGAAGGAATTGGGGATTATTGGGATGATTTATCCTGAAGTGTTAAGGGTGTAAGTAAAAGTATACCTCTTGTCCTTTCTGTGAACTACCTCCTGCCCCATGTTCCCCTGCAAGTTAGGGATGAAATTGCAGCAGGGAAGTTGAGGAGAGATGGAGAAAACTTCAAACACTATTGGTTGTGGGTCATTGGAACGGGGTTTTAAAGAAGGTCTTTGCCATTTGTTTGACAAATATGTGCTAAGCACATAAATTCAAGGCTCTGTGTTGCATGCTATGGGAAATATTAGAGATGAACAAAATACTTGCCTATTCTATAAGGATGTCAGAGACTCATTTAGATGAACATCACCTATATCTGTCCATGTCTTCTGCCTCACCAGGTCTTTATCCTTTTATTTTTGTTTTTTTCTCATGGCTCAATGATAATTTCACCACATAAATGAAAGCTAAGTGTTCACATTTCTTACTATCACTGCCTTAAAGGAGTCAGCAGTCACAACTGCTCTGGTCTGTCACCCCCAGATGTGGCCCCTGGGGTGTTCTCCAGTCTCTAACTGTTCTGGTCTAACTGGGAATGACTCCATTCTTGCTTTATAAGATCTTAAGCTCTATAAGATTAGAAAATTTCAAAATGAAACAAGCCAAACAAAATTCGAGTGTGTGGGTGTGGGGGGGGGGAGTTGGGATAAAAATTAATAAAATTGTGCTGAGATAAATAGAGATTGAGTGGCAGTCTGGTTTTCTTGATCTACATGTGCTAGGTCCTTTTTTGGGGGTTGGTGTTATTTTTTAAATTATTTATTTATTTATTTTTAGAGAGAGAAAGAGAGGAAGAGAAACATCAATGTGTGGTTGCCTCTCATGCATCCCCTCCTGGGAACCTGACCCACAACTTAGGCATGTGCCCTAACTGGGAATTGAATCAGTGATCCTTTGGTTGGCAGGCTGGTACCCAATCCTGCCTGGTGAGCCACACCAGCCTGGGATAGGTCCTTCTTTTTAGTATAGCCATTTAGTTGAATGTCAGACCAGGTCCTTGGATCCCTGGCTAGAGGCAGAGCAGATCCATAGCAATTTCTGTTCTTGTCAGAGTCAGGTTCATAGTCTTTTATTGTACTGTGCACTTCCAGCCTGTCCCTACAGGCTGCAATGCCCTTTGGCTCTGTAGCTTTCTGTTCCCTGTCCTCAAGAATCGTGCCATAGTTTCTGGATACCTGGTAAAGAAAGCAGCTTCCTTAATGACCTCAGAGATTTTGCTTCTGGGCTGCTGTCTGCCTTTCAGATGTCTGCCTTCCCCAGCCTCTATGGCACAGGACATCTGTATTGCCTTTAGCAGGGACTAGTAAATGTTAATGGAAAGAAATTAAGGTTCTACTTCTGCCACTGACCCACTTATTTGTTCTTTGCTCTGTTTGCCTGAAGCATATATACTAGCCAGGTATTAAAGCTAGACCAGCCCTTTGGTGAAATTCAGTTTTAGCTGTTCTAGGTTAGTACCCAGTGTCTCCAGCACCATGCAGCCACCACTATGGGTGTCTTTAAGTGTTGGGAGCATCTCTGCCATAGCCAAATTTTCCTACTTCAAAAGTACAGCCTTGTGGACTTCCACCAAGATGGAGGCGTAGGTGGAAGCACTGTGCCTTCTCACACAACCAAGTTTAAAAACAACAAAGTTTTATCAACAAAAACGCAGCCAAACCACAGAAAATTGAACTACACGGGAAGTCTGACAACAACAAACCCTTCAGCCAAACTGGTAAGAGGGGCAGAGCCAGCAGCAGAGCAGGGTCAGGCAGGAAAGATCCACCGGACCCACCTGCACTCGACCCAGGTGGGCAGGCAGTGGGGGGACCCACTGAGGGTGCAAGGCAGTGGACCCACTGAGGGCTGATCGCGGTCACATATTTGCACACAGACAAACCAGTGAAGGAGCTAGCAGTGAGACGGACCACACAGGCCCCAGCTGCAGGAGCCTGCAAGTGGCAGAGAGAACCGCCATTGTCCCTCTCTGACCCTGCCCCAACAGAGAGCGTCACAAACCAGTGACCAGGGTGGCCCCGCTCTGGTGAACAACTAAGGCTTGCTCCTCATACATAACAGGCGTGGACAGATCAAAACATGGCTCAAGAACAACTCAGAGCCCCAGAGCTGATAAATCTAAGCGATGAAGAAATAAGCCAAACTTTCAGATGCACAGTTCAAAACACTGGTGATCAGGATGCTCACAGAACTGGTTGATTTTAGTCACAAATTAGAGGAACATATGAAGGCTAAACTAATTGAAATGAATGGTAATGCACAGGAAACCAATAGTAATGGAAAGGAAACTGCAACTCAAATCAAGGGAGCAGACCAGAAGGAAGGAAAAAATGACCAAACAGAAAAGAATGAAGAAACAAGAATTCAAAAAAATGAGGAGAGGCTTAGGAACCTCCAGGACATCTTTAAACATTCCAGTGTCCGAATTATAGGGGTACCAGAAGGGGAAGAGGAACAGTCATGAGTGGAAACCTTATTTGAACAAGTAATAAAAGAGAACTTCGCCATTCTGGCAAAGGAAATAGACTTCCAGGAAATCCAGGAAGCTCAGAGAGTCCCAAAGAAGTTGGACCCAAGAAGGAACACACCAAGGCACATCATAATTAGCCAAGATTCAAATGAAGGAGAGAATCCTAGAAGTAGCAAGAGATAAGGGGACAGTCACCTACAAAGGAGTCCCCATCAGACTGTCAGCTGATTTCTCAAAAGAGACCTTACAGGCAAGAAGGGGCTGGAAAGAGGTATTCCAAGTCATGAAAACCAAAGACCTACAACCAAGATTGCTCTATCCAGCAAAGTTTTCATTTAGAATGGAAGGACAGATAAAGTGCTTCTCAGGTAAGATCAAATTCAAGGAGTTCATCATCACCAAGCCCTTATTATATGAAATATTAAAGGGACTTATCTAAGAAAAAGAAGATAAAAAAGATGAACAGTGAAAGGACAGCAAACTCACATTTATCAAGAACCACACCTAAAACAATAGCAAACTAAGAGGACAGCTAGATCAGGAGCAGAACCATAGAAATGAAGATCATGTGGAGGATCAGCAACAGGGGAGTGGGAGAGGGAGAAGGGGGGAGAAGGTACAGAAAATAAGTAGCATAGACAGTAGATAGAAAATAGTTAGGGGGGAGGGTAAGAATAGTAGGGGAAATACAGAATCTAAAGAACTTGAGACACGTGTCCATGAACTAAATTAAAGGGGGGGATGGTGGGAGAGGGGTGTGCAGGGTGGAGGGGAACGGAGCGGGGGGAATAGAACAAATGTAATGGCATAATCAATAAAAAAAAGAAAGTCAGCACTTTCTCTTCTGATAAACTAAGAGGGTTTTGTTTTGTTTTTGGAGTAGAACTTTTAAAAGGTATTTGCATAGTATAGAAGAGTTTCTGGGAGTGGACCTCATACCCCATGTATAGCTAGAGGGAAATGATAAGTGAAGTGGTGCTTTTGGTACCTTTGTTTGGGTGTGAGTGATCCCAGGGGAGCAGAACAGGTGAGAGATCCCTGCCTGAGATGATTTTACATTTTTTTATTATGTTGAGAAAGAAATAAAATGATAGCTCTGGATGGTTTAAGTCTGCATTTCCTCTGAGATATGCATATATTTGAGTTTTTCTGAGCCTATCTAGTCTATATTAGCCATTTCCACCTCCTCATGTCAGGGTCCATGAATTATTCCTGTGAAACAAGCTCTTTGGTCCATGAAGTATTCTTGTAAAAAAGACTCCTAAGAGGAATTTGAAGAGTTGGAGCAACAAGGGAACTAAGAGATGTTAGGCTGAGTTCCTTTCTTCTTCTAGCAACTAAGGAGAGTTTGCATGACAGATTTTACCACTTCCTTTTTAACTTCCTAAGTATCTCTTTCATTGGTTTTGTTATGTTATCATTACTGTTCATAAGAAGGAAGAAAGGAAAGAATAAAGGTAGAGAAGGAAGAAGGGAGAGAGAGAGAGAAAAAAAGATATCTTAGAACAAGCTGGAGGAGAGTTATGCTTTGTTATGGGACAGAAGAGTAAAAACAGTAGCTTCCAGTGAGTGGAAACCATGGGTGTAGGACCAGCTACCTAATCTGCAGGACTCAATGAAAAATGAGATTGTAAGGCCCTTTGTTTAAAAACTATTAAGAATTTCAAAACAGTGACAGCAGAGAATTAAGTCAAGCATGGGGCCTTTCTAAGTGTGCGGGTGGCATACCTTTGCATGTCCTGGCTGGATGGGAGGGGGGAGCATGTGCAGAGGCAGCCTTGGAGGCTGATCTCTGAGCCACAAAAAAGGTTCAGAGTATGGGTCTCTGAGACACATCAACTGGAGGAGCCCACCCAGTGCCTTTCCTTGGTAGGGGCAGAGCAGCCTAACCAATTCCACAACCTGTGTCCCTCCTCCAGGGCTCAGAGAGAGCAGATTGAAAACGAGAGGCTGGAGGAGGAGAAAAAGGCCACAGGGCGCTTACAGCATGCCAATGAGCTCCGGCGCCAGGTGCGTGAGAACCAGCAGAAGCAGGTGCAGGATAGAATCACCACCTTTGAGGAGGGCCGGCGCCTCCAAGAGGAGGCACAGAAGCGGCGTGAGCGCATTGATGACATAAAGAAGAGAAAGATTGAAGAGCTGAGGTGCTCTTCCCCAACTCCTCTCCCCTTCCCCAAGGGGATGGCAGGGCTGGAAAGCTGGGATTCAGGGAATGAAGGGGCATTGCAGAGGTGCTCAGAGAGGTTGCCTTCTGAAAGCAAACCTCCAGCAAAAATTCCTGAGATTTGGGTGTTCCTGGCTTTCTGGGAACTACTTGGAGGGTGATGGAGATTTGACAGGAATATGTTTGGGAGATAAATCCTGGGAGTAGGTTTGAGAATGCAGAGCCCCAGGTTCTGAAAGCCTACCCAAAGTTGACTGACATCCTGCTGCCTCCTCTCTGGTTCTACCCTCCCCTTACACCTACCCCTTGCTTTTCCTGCAGAGCTACTGGCCTTCCTGAGAAGTACTGCATTGAAGCTGAGCGCAAAGCTAACATCCAGCTGGCCACCTCTGTGAATTGAAGGGTGCCTCTAAGCTACTCTGGATGCCTGCAGGGGAAGTTTCACCCAATCTCTGGGTGTCCATGATTGCTGCTGACATTTCATAGTTACAGATTAAATCTATTCTACTTCTTTAAGGAACAGCCCCATTTCCTTGTGTGGGGATGTGGCTACTACAGGGTAGTGAATGTGGAGCAAAATAGATTATAGGAGATCCAGGTGTGGGTGGTGTGACACTCAGGGGCTGGGAATGCAAGGATACTCTTCATGATTGTCCTTTTAAGCGAGGTAGTTCATTTGTTCTGGTGGCTCATGGCCTTTTTGTGACCCTTTGGAGTATTTCCATCATGTCAGCTTTTAGCACAGTCTAGTTGCCTCCATTCCACACCCAACTCAGGCATTTTAGGGCTGAGGCAAAAAGCTAGAGATGCTCTCAGGGAGAGGCTAGGGCAGGGTTGGGCTGAGGAGAACAGGGAAGGAGGCACTGGGCTGCCCGAGGCAGAGGTCTTACTAGGTTCCCACCTATGACTCAGACCACATCTGTGAAGTAGGTGGTGTCTGAACCTAGGCTTATCCTCCTGTCTCAGCTCTCTCCTTCCAGAGCCCTTTCAACTCCACGCAGTGCCACAACATAGACACCTGCCTGTCCCATGGCTTGGACATGGTGGGGGCAGTTGTAGGTTACATGAATCAATCTGAAGCCAGCTTCAGATGAAGAAGTGTAGCCACCTCTGAGCAGGTGAAGCTGGTTTGGGGGAGAAACTCAGGGTTAGCCCTTAGGGTTGTCCCCCTCTAGGAATTCCTGGAATTGAGTCATGATGTGGAAGAGAGGTTCAGTTTCTCCTTTCTGGATTCCCAAGAAGCTGTGCTTCGGGACTGGCCTGACTCATCTGTTAGAACCTTGTCCCTAAAAGTGGGACACTCCTGACAGCCAGGTCAGTAGCTGGCATCTGGGCTAGCTGGCCACATCGGGGCATCTTTTATAAAAACTCCAATCATGAGTGGAGTTTTCTGCTGTCATTCATGAGTGGCAATGGGAATAATTACAGGGAAAAGTATCTGGTGTTAACTGGGGGCTGGTGGGGCCAAGCATGATAGCGTTGGCAGAAGCAGCAGGAAATGACATGAGTCCAACTTGCAGAAGGGAGGAGTGAGACCTTGAGACAAAGAAGAGAGAAAATCAGAATTTGTGAAAGATTTAGTGACTTAGTGAGCCTGCCAGCTCAGGAATAACTAGCCTCAGTCTTTTTGCTAGAGGTTGGACCTTTGAGTGGGCCACACTTTCTTCTAGGGTGGCTTCAGCTCTCCTTCCTAGTTCTCAGAGGATGAAATGAGCTCTATATGCTCCTCCAAGCCACTGAATCAGCTCAGAGGTGTCTGGGAAATTACGAAGAGGAGAGTGGTACTGGGGAAATCTGGGGATGAGTAGGAAGTGCTATTTGCTGTGTTCCCTCGATTGATGTAAAGACGTAAGAAGCCTGCAGTAAAAAAAAAAAGTGCCTAAACTACTGACACTTAGTTTTATGGGTCCTTGATTGGCTTCCCAGCTCCCTTTCTTCTGCCCTCTGGTCTTCCTGTCCTTGTAATGTCAGACTGGGCTTGTGTAGCCTGGAAAATCCAGTGGTTGGGCTCTATCTTGGAGTACTGATTCAGATCTTCAGGCAGTGACCACCTGAGCATTTGTCCCCCAGCTTCTGTCTAGACTCCATGCCCCCACCTGCCCACATGTGCCTGTTGGCTGTGTCATGCTCTGCTGTAACTTGGAGGCTGTCTCAGTACCGCTGTGCCTGCCAAATAAGCAACTCCACTTGGTCATGACTCAGCAACCTGTCCTAGTGGCCAAGTCAGGCTGCCTCTGACTCAGTGGGGTGCTGGGCTGTCCTCTGAAAGCCAGCATCCACATCTGTGACTCAGGTCTGGGCATGAATTGGTCTCAGTAAAAGCACTTTGATTAGGCTCAAATAAAAGGGGCCCCCAAATGTTCAAAGCTAGGCAGATTTTTGGGGTGAAGAAAGGTGGCAGCTATTTAGGCGACAGTGGAAGGGAGATGCTGGAGTCTCAGACAAGAATTCTGAGCCATGGGTCCTTCAGAGTTCCTCACATGCATGCCTGGGGGAGAGATGAGGATGGGGAAGACTCATACCAGACCAGGAGTCTCTTCCCCCAGCTTAGGCAGCTGCCAAGGTGATCTACTCCCCACCTCAATTCCCTCTCCCTTTCATACTCTGAGAGAGATACTGACAAATGACACAAATTTTACCTGGAAGAAGTTCATTTTCAATATCATACAAATCTGGAGTCCCAGAAACTGACTTTAAATAGCATAGACCTTCCCTCTGTTTTAGTTCCCAGCCTCCCAGCTGGGATGTTCTTGCAGTACAAGCTCTGCATTTCTTCCTGAATTCTTCATATCTTCTTGAGTTAGGGGGTCACCATTATCTCAATGCCCTTTGATGACTTTGAGACTGGGACAGAAATAGGGTTGAAATTTTAGGTGGCTTCCTTAGGAGACCCCTGGAAAGAGAAGTCAAGGCAGTGGGAGGGAATGGGGGGCAGGAGAAAGTACCCAGAGTTGTGGATCTTTTCTGCATGGCCCCAGGGGAAAGACACTTGGTCTCTGGGCTAGTGAGTATGAGCACCAAATTATAGAATCTCAAGGCAGGAAGGGACCTCAAGGACCCTCTGGTGTTTGAATCTCCTTTGTAATTGCTATTCAAATGGTTGGAGCTTGCTTGCACTTTCTGAGATTCAGGGTGCTCGTTACCTCATAAAACAACCCAAACCATCTCAGGCCAGCTCCAATGCTCAGAAAGCTCTTAATACTGAGTCAATATATATCTTCCTGTGCATTCATTGTGCATTCCCAGTGCACTGGGACCACACTAAACAAGTTTAGGCCTTTTTTTTTTTTTTTTTTTTTTTTTTTACACAATGCCCCTTCAGATATCTCCTGCCCCAGCTCCTTCACAGCCTGATTCCAGGTGGGGAACTATCCAAAATATTCTGGAAACACATGACTCTTCTGAACATTTTTTGGGAGGAGGGAGGGATGAGTGGGTTGTTGGATAGAGGCAAATGGGGAAAATCTGGAGCCTTCTACTTTATTCTTGGGCTGGGCATGTCTGCTGCCCTGGCTGAGCTGTATTGCTTCAGTCCCCTCTGGCACCACCTTTCCCACACTCCTTCCCCTTTCCCAGTGTCCAGGCAACGTGAGAAAACATGGAGAGCAGAGGGAAGGCTGGTCAGGACAGGCTTAGTGGGGAAGGCTGCAGAGCAGATACACCCCTGGCTTAGCTCTGCCACCTGCCAGCTCCCACACACTTTCCTTGACAACTGCCTGGACAGCAAGGCAAGCCTGGGGCCTCCATGGGGGCTGGGGGAGGACCACAGTTCCTCTCTGCAGATATGTATTGCAGGAATCCAGATAGCAGAATCAAAGACAAAATTTATACAAATTCAAGGGTCAGAGTCTCAGTGGGCATATGGACTAGTCTATGACAAGGTTTCTCTCTTCACATACAAATATGTGTATGGAAGGCCTGGCTAGTCCATGCAGAAGGCCTGGCTCTGATACCACTGAGTATTCTGGTGTAAGGTCCGCAGAGATTCAGTTCCTCAGTCCAAAAATAACCATCAGTGGTCTCTTGACTATATTCTCTTCTCTGTGGTCTCTGGCAGGGCTCTGGTTTATTTTCCAAGGACCAAAGTTCTCTTCCAGTCACCTCTCTCAATCATTTTGTACATTATCAAGATATTCTTCAGAGTTCTGTTTAAAACATTCTTCCCACCAGGTCAGGGGCCTTGCAGTGATCAACACAGTCCATCATGCTGAGATGAGGGGTTGGCATCCCTTCCTTGTCTGTCTCTTTGACCAGACCAAATGCTCTAGCAGAATAGACACTGCACTTCATTAATTGCTGCTGCCCAGGGCCTAGTACAAGGCCCAGCTCATTTGCTGAGTGGATGAAGGTTCTGTAGTATAAGGTTGATCTTGGTGAGGTAAAGATCTTTTATCTTGCCCTGGCTGGTGTGGCTCAGTGGATTGAGCACAGGCCTGCGAACCAGAGGATCGCGGTTTGGTTCCCGGTTGGGGCGCATGCCTGGGTTGCAGGCCGGTTCCCTGCAGGCCATTTCCCAGCAGGGGACGCATGAGGGGCAACCATGCATTGATGTTTCTCTTCCTCTCTCCTTCCCCTATAAAAGATAAATAAATAAAATCTTTAAAAAAAAAAAGATCTTTTATCCTTAGGGTTTCTTAATTCTTCTTTAAGTCTGTCACTAGGAATGCCTGTACTCTTTACAAGCATTTCTTCTTTCTTCCATTACTCCCTTGATAACAGTTCAGTTCATAACATTTAATAAACTACCCTTTGTTATGGTGCTCTGCTGACTGCCACTCCTTTCAGCAAGGGGGCCCATTTCAGTGCTGTTTGCTCTTATGAGTCTGGGCCAGTTCTAGGATATCACTTGATGGGAGAGCTGTGGGAATATCCAGGTTCCCTCCTGGCATTCCCTCTTGTTCTGAGGTGGACCACCAGGAATTGCCAAGACTTGAGGAGTCAGTAGGGAGAGGCTCAGAGAGTCCCTAAGTCATGTGTCCAAAATTTTTGTCTGTCAGCCCTCATCTAGACCTCAGTCCCTAACCCTAACCCAGAACCCTACACATGGCTTTCATTTCTAACTCTAATCCTTCCTCAACTGAACTTAACATTCTCCTATCACATCACCTGCAGCACCTCTAAGCCTGCTACTCTTCTCATCCAAGCATGGCCTCATCTGGTAGTGTTCCAACTCCAAACCTTCACCAAGAGCTGGGTGAAAAGGCAGCAGCTTCAGCAGCTCCCTGGCTTCTCTGAGACTGTGTCCATGTGGTGCCTTGACTACCCAGTTTGAGACTTAGCATATTGTCCATCCCACGCTGTTCATGACTCCTGCTCCCAGACCTTTCCTCAGAGGCTTGCATGGCTATTTTAGGAGGCTGTTGCTCACTCCTTGGTGTTGCAGGGGTGAGCCTGGTCTACATGGGGACTCCAGAGAAGTGCTAAAGAGCCTGCTGACTGTGTGTGTTTTAGAAAGGGTCAAGTTGCAGAGCTGTGGGCTGGGGGCGGAGAACAGAACCTGAGCCTGAGCTCAGGGCATCTCGGGGAGGGGTTGGAGGGATAGTTTGGGCAGAGGAGGGCAGGACCTATAAGAGTTGTGCTGAGTTGCTGTGAAGGGCACTTTGAAGAAACATTAGGTGGGTCAAGGCCACCTCCTGTCATTCCCCTAAATGTTCTGGGGTCAGGCTGCACCCGGTGTCATAAGCAGTCTCTGGGCTTCTCTGGGTCCTTGGCCTTCCTCTTCCCTTCTCTGTCTCTGTTCACTGCTTTCTAAGCATCTGTTTTTGAGTTTCTGCTTCTGTCTTACAATAAAAGCAAATATAACCCAAATTGTGGCATATGCACAAAACAGGCCATTTTCTCCCAGAGAGCTCTAAATTTTTCAGAAAAAAAGCAGGGGAGCTTTCCAAATTTTCCAAAAGCTTTTGGAAAATTTTTGTGGCCTTCTACCTCCTTTGTCTCTCTTTCTGACTCTGAACCTCTGGATGTGCCATCTGGATGCCACCTGTGTTCCTCTGCTTCTCAGTGATCACTGTCTCTCCTGGGAACTGAGAGAACATCTCAGTAATCTTGAGATTCTGTCCAGATCTTTATGGGACCTGGAAAGGAAGTGGGTGGGGAAATGAAATGTTTGGGATGGAGACTGGGTAGGGGAAAGGAAAGGAAGAATTGGGGTAGGGGCCCTTCCAGGAACAGGCCCTTTTCCTCTGCTTAAGTTGAAACTCAGAGAAGTTGTGGGCTGGTCCCAGAGGAAGGGGGCTATAGGCTAGATCTACACTAGAAAATTAAGCTGATACACAGTCCTCTTACTCCATCACTGTCCCCCCAAACCCTGCAGGGCTCAGGGCACAAGGCAGGAAGCCTGACAACTTCTTTTATGAGCCCCAAATTGCAAGGAGGTGGCAATTAGCCTTCAGTGGGTCAGAGGAAAGAAACAATGTGCTTGTCTTTTGAGGCTATGAGGGGCCCTGGCGTGGTGCCCTCAAAAGTAGCTGTTGTTCTAGGAGTACCTGGGCCCTCAGTCTTCCCCAGCTTCCATCTCTTAGACTCCAAAATCAGGAAACAACCTCAGTAAAACTGCTTATGACGGACCCTATCTAGTAGTTCATTGTGGTGTCAGAGTCCCACTCACTGGTAGCTTCCTGCATCCCCTTCCCAAATCCATTTCTAGGAGCTTAATCATTAGTGAACTGGGGTTATGGAGCAGGACTTCAGAGGTTAGATTTGTCATTGGATTAAACTGCTTCATATCCATTAGATGGGCTCATGAATATGTGCAATTGTCTCAAAAATCTTGGGTCCCTAATGTGCCATTGGTATTTTCCCAGAGCACAGGGATAAAAATTCTAGCTAAATGTGGCTTAAGCAGACGGAGGCTAAAACCTTTCTATGTCATAATTATAGTCTCATTTTTAATCCTAATGAATCCTCCTGACCATATAACTTTAATCTATGTTCTAACCCTAACCACAGTCTATTCTGTCTTAGACCTCAAATTCAATTCTAACCCAGCCATAATTCCAATTCTACATCAGTCTCTACCCAGCCTTTGCTTGAGCTGTAACTGTATTCTCAAGCATACCTATAAATGAAACTAAAATGCTATTCCTTATCATAACATGGATTCTGGCCATCACGCCTAGCCTCAATTCTAGTTGATATGCTAACCCTAATCTCAACCTTAATTCCCATCTCAACCTCAAATCTGACCTCAGCCTCATTTATGATTCCAACTAACCCCAACCTTCACCCCAGCCTTATTCCAGCCTTCATCTCAACTCTGACATAAAATCCAGAACCCAGTGAAATTCCAACCCTACACTTCAGTTTAATGCAACGATAGTCTTACTCCTTTCTTTTCAGTCTCCCTCTTCATGGTCCCACCTGTTCTCTCCTCCACCTATCACTGACCTTGCATGCTTTGTCCCCATAGGTGGGTCTAGTAACCTGTAAGGTCACCAAGCCCTTTTTCTTGGACCGCTCTGGATCGAAAATCAATATGCCTGGGTGTTCCCCACATAGGCCCCAGCAGTATCACTTGGACTGAATTCTCATGTTTCTCCAGGCTTCTGTTTTCATTTTAAAAAGTGGAGATAATGATCCCTACTTTCCAGAATGTGCAGGGAAATCCTATGAACCTCAAAATAAATAAGGAAATGAAGATATTCATTATGTGTGGGGGCAACTTTCCTTGCAAGTCTCCCCGTGTGCCATGGATGACTGTAAACATGATTGAGACATGATGTGATCTGCTTGGGGAGGAGAGGCAGCCAGTTTCTCAGGGGAAAAAGGGGTTGAGCCCCTTCCTCCAAGGACTTTTATTGGATTGTAATACACAGGAATACAGGTTGGCAAGGATCAAACAGTAGATAACATTTCAAACAAATCTGAGGGCTTAGTGTGAGTCAGTGTCTGCCAGGAAAGGGGGCTGCAGAACTTTGGGGGAGAGATACTAATTTCTTCCCGGACCCTTATCATATGAATGAAAACACTCTTAGCAGAGCAGATTTCACAGGCTTTTCAGGAATTCTTTGTGATGCCAGATTTTCCCCTGGGACACACTCTAGCAAGGCAAGGAGCTGCACCCCTCCCCATCAGGTATTCAGGCTTAAGGGGATTAGAGCCAGGAAGTGCTTCTCCCAGAAGATGTGGGGACTTGGGGTATGTCAAAGCTGGGGGGTGAGAGTCCATTGCTCTTTGTTGCAGCCCCCCCAAGTCCTTCCATTATGGCCTCCCAAGTGGTCATGTCTGGCCTAGGCTGCCCCTCCTCCGAAGGGTCTTACTCGTCAAGGTCTTCCAACCATGCTTTAGGGGCAGGGAGGAAACTGAGGCAGGTTTGCTACTAGAGATGCATTTTGTCTCCTGCAGCTTGCATTCCAGAGGTCCCTGACTCCTCCTTAGCCACAGGGGGTAGAGAGTTATAATTCCTAGAACCAGGCAGAGCGGTCCACAACAATTGTGTATATCTGGTGGGTCCCAGAGCACCCTGTTATTGTTGGAGATGTGGGTGGAGGGTTTTAAAATATAGTGATGCATGAGTTCCTTGTGCTTCCTTATTGTTCTGTCTTATTTTTCCTGGAGGGGTGGGCTATGGCAGTATCCCTGAGTCTCATAACCCTCCCCAAGATTCTTCCTCCCATCCTTCCTGTGCCCTCTGTCCAGGAGAAAGGTGGGCTATTGAACAGGGTTGCTCATGACCTGACCCACTTCTCCTAAAGCCCATGGAAGGCCTTGGGCCTATTTTGGGACCCCCCTGGATTAACTAGCAAGGGTTGTCCCCCACTTCCCCCTCTGCCCATCAGAGCCATCTCACCCCAGCTCTAAGCTGCCCAGACCTTGCTGGCTTATGCCCTGATGAACGGTCCAGGTGATGAGGGTCTTTGGGTTACCTTCCTGTGTGAAGCAAGGACACCAAACACTTACTAAAAGAAATGCACACAGTGGGCTTAGCCTTCCTTAGTAGAGATATAGCACATTCCAGTGAGAGGGCACACACACAGGCACACCCCTTTCCCTGTCCCTCTTGGTGCTATTCTCCCCACCATCCCCTCACTAACCCATGTACTTGCTGTGTTCCTTCCACATATCCTGGTCTTTTTCCCTTCAGGCCTCACTGAACTGGTTTTAGTTCAGTGTGGGAGGTTGGGCTGGATCCCTATAATACCCCCAGCTCCCAGCAATCCCCTACATTCAAGGATGACCTTGCATCAGGTATGGGTGGGGGCATAGCTCCAGAGGGGGCAGCCAGGAGAAGACCCTGATCCCAAACACACCCTTTTCCTCCCTTATTTAGCTTAGGAGGGCTGACTCCCTTTGAAGGGCCAGAGGCCTCAGGTGAAAGGCAGGCTGGGCATTCCTGGGTCCCATTCATCTGCCTGGGCCTTCTCTCCAGCCCTAGTATCCCCTTCCCTGGTGCTCCTTCCCACTGACCTGGGTGGGGTTGTGGGGGGATATCTGTCAGTAGATCAGTAACAGAAGGGGACAGGATTTGTAAAGTGTGTCAGACCCCCATATCCTGGGGCCAGTGTTAACCCTTCAAAGCTTGGACACCCTTCCTCCTCAAGCCTGGCTTCTCCTTCCTCTTCCATTTCCCCTGGGAAAGAAGGCAACAAGCCTGAGTAGTGAGAGGAGCTCCATGCATGTCATAAAATGGGGTGACTACTGAGGAAGATGGGGCCAGGAGGAAGTGGAAGTTTAACAGGTGCCTAATTATAAGTCCCACTGGCAATCCTGCCTCACTCCCTGGATAGGGAAGAGCTTGGGTGATGGCTGGGTAGGCCATTCTGTCACCCTGATAATTAGGGTTTTTGGGACTCCTCCCTGAGGCGGGGACCAGGCCCCATCCCTTCCATACAAATAACTCTGGCTGCTCCCCAGCCGGGCACTCATTGCACCTTCTTGCCATCCTGGGCAGTGTCTGGGCCCTCAGCTCCCCCTCCTTCTACCCATTCCCAGAAACGCACTACTACGGTCTGGCCCCGGCCCCACAGCCACCAGCCCAGGGATACGCAGCCCAGGTGGAGGAAACACCGAGCCTAGAGACATGGGAATTCGAGGAGCATTCCACCTTCTACTCGTGTGTTTGAGCCCAGGTATGGGGCTGGGCAGCAGGCAGGGATGCCCATACAATGCTAGATGGGCAGAGAAAAGGGCAGCACAGAGGAGCTTCGGCAGTTGTCTGAGATGCCCTGGGAGGATGCAGCATACCCTTGCCCTGCTGCCACCCAGGTTTGGATAGTGCTAGAGGCCTCTCCTTAGGACAGCCCTATGCCTGAAGTTTTGGGATAGAGGTCTTTGATGGTCCTTCACTGTGAGGCTCATGCACAGCACTCCCGTGCTGTGACTGGGAGTACAGGGCTGTGGGAACTGGGAGTGGGATGGATAATCATGTGAGCAACAAAGCTGGGTGGGAGATAAGGAGGAGTCTGGTAAGGAGCCTTTTTTACTAATGTGTGTGTTATTCCAGCAGGAGGGCCCAGGGCAGGGAGTTGCCTCCAGAGGGCAGACCCTCTGGCCAATGTGGCCAGCACTGCCGGTTACAGTGCTGATGTGAGGCCTGTGCTTCAGGCCTGTGTTGTGAGAGTTCCAGGGTAGTGTTCACCCTCCAGGATGATGGGGACAGCACCCCACTGGGTCACACGTTAAGGTTGGATTTTGTGGCTACCTGCCCAGGTCGGGATAAGTCTCAGCAAGGGACACTGTATGTGGATATTGCTGGAAATGGCTCTGAGACCCACCCTGGGGTCTGGGTTGGGGGATGAGAGAGTGTAGGGGAGGAGCTAATGATGGGGAAAGTATTTTCAGCCTGTGCATGCATGTGTGTGTGTGTGTGTGTGTGTGTGTGCGTGAATGATCCAGTTTCTATTAGAATGTCTGCAACACCCTCTGCCTCTGGCAGAACCCATGCAAGAAGCTCCAGGTTTGCTTTGGGAATTTGGGATATCTCCATGTTTGTGATGTGTATCATGGGTGTATTCTGTGTGTATTTATAAACCAGTATTGTCTTGTGGGGGCTGCCTTTTCTCCCCTCCCTTTTCTTCTCTTTCCTTACCTCCAGAGGGAGGGTTAGGAGCTCTGAAAGCAGCCTGAAATTCATAAAAGATTTACAAGTTGAGAATAGACATTGCTACTGAGGTGACATGCACAGAGTGTGCACCGCTGGTGTTTTTGTAGGGAGACAATTAGTCACTCCTACCCGCTTTCTTGGAGCCCACTGTGATTTCTCTCCCTTCCCCCAAATCTTGCCCAGCATTCTCTTCCACTTTTGCTTTCTTCCCTTCTCCAGTCTTCCTCTTCTCTCACATTTTCTCAGTGCCACAGCAGGAGAAATCAGAGTAAGATACAAGGGAGAACTTCCCCAGAAGAGTGAAGAAATGAAGAAAGGCTGAAGCCCTTAGGAAGAGGTTGAGAAAGCTTTTAGGGAGAGTGAATGGCTAGGGTGAGGCTCCTTAGCCTGGGACAATGGAAGACACACAGCCTAGTACAGGGTAAAGGCATTCTTCTTCTAGTTTGCCCCTCCTTCCCAAACTCCCTTCCCCGAATACTCACCCTTTTGCTGGCTGGCCCTGAGGTGTAGGAAGAGTCCTCTCTTTGTGGGTTGCTTCTAGGAGCTGTTCCTTAGGGTGGAGCCTCTACTCTCTGCTCAGTTCTGGCTCATCCCTGGCTTGCCTTGTGCCACCCTAGGATCTGTCAGATGGCATCAGGATCCTTATCTCAGAAATGAGTTTATGTTCACATGGCCTGGGGCTAGAGGAGGCATCACCAGGTCCCGTTAGAGCCCCAGCAACTAGCCTGCCCATTCTGGGTCACCCCAGAACCTAGTGTGGTTAAGGCGTGGCTGATGGCCTAGCCAGAGTTCCGAGGGGCAAGTTCAGTTGATGCCTGAGCTACTGGGCATGTTGGAAGAGTGCCTTCTGGCTCTTCAGAACCAGGGTAAGCTTCTTCGGGTATGTCTGACTTTGACTAAGTGCATGTGGACCATGTGGTGTGTAGTGGGTGTATTGTCTGGATTACTCTGGATTTGTGTTTGTGTGCAGATGTGTGTCTGTGTGGATCTGATAGTATCTGTGTGTAGGAAGGTGGGACTGCATAAGTATGGACCTGCATTTGGAAGGCTTGTGGAATGTGTCTGTGTGTTTATGTGTTTGGCTGTGACAGAGTGTAATTGTGTGTGTGAGATGCTCTCTAAGCATGAAAGTGGTTTTAAGAGAGAGCCAGAAAAGGGCAGAGCAGAGTGAGTTGATGAGACCAGGGGCTGAGACTCTAAAGGACTTGCTCCCTCTTGACAAAGAAAGCAGGAGAGTGAGCCAGGGTAGACAAAGGGGTCTGGGGAGGGAGGGGTGCAGGAGATTGGGAAATGGAGCCTATCTGTCCTGCCTGCCAAGGTTGGGGCCCTGGACACACCCCTCTCTGTTTTTTGCTAGGTTCAACTTGTTGGGGCTAGTGCTTGCCCGGGCTTCTGAATAGGGAGGGAGAGGAGCTCAATGTTGAATTTCCAGATGCCAGGTCCTCACCCAGGCTGAGTCAATGGAGCAGGATGGCAGCAGCAGGAGGGGCCCCAATTGGAGCAAGCATGTGGGGGCAGCCAAAAAGCCATATAATCACACAAGGACAGGACACAAAGTCTACACTGGTACATTTCATCACCCAAGGCTCACATTGTCCTATAGATGCATGTGGTCACAGTCTCAGGTACACACCATCATTTACTGTCACTCACAAATATACCCTAGTCACAGCTTTCCCCTATCATCCACAGGCATGCCCCATCACTCAGAATACTGACAGCTAGGCACTAGCTGTCAAACATAGGCATATAGCCACATACATGCACTGTCATACACAAGACACATGGATACCTCCCATCTTCTATTCCTTAGGCTGGGAAGGGATCCCAGGAGCCATGGTGTTCATCCTCCTGCCTTCAGATAGGAGCACCTCACTTGGCCCAGACAGAGGCAGTCTTTAACCAGCCAGGCTCCTCTATCAGAGTGTTTAACAGCTTTGTGTGCTCCATGTGCATAATGTAAACACAGGCAATTATGTAAATATAAAAGCAGACACCTTACCTGGTCATGGCATGAGTATCCTTACAGTATACATAAGCAGCCACAAATACTCATAAACACACATGTATGTACACATGTGTACACACTCATGTGCATACATGATGATGCATACATACAAGCATAATAACTAATAGCTGTATATATATATAAAAACAGGATTCAGATGCGATCTTACACATCATAGAATATAAATGTGCATACACAAGTGTGCACAGACTTGTATATGCTGCTTTACATACATACCCAGACACACACTCAGAGCAACCCATACTCTCTATGGAACCCCCACTGAGCCTGGGTTGTTTCTGATATAGAATGGCAGAGGGAGAGGCTGACATTGACTACTCAAGTTCTGTTCCCCTCACCCTACCTGTTCTACCTTTCCCCTAGCACTGTTGTCCTCTGTGCGGATCAACGGGGATGGCCAGGAGGTCCTGTACCTGGCAGAAGGTGACAATGTGAGATTGGGCTGCCCCTATGTTTTAGACCCTGAGGATTATGGTCCCAGTGGGCTGGACATTGAGTGGATGCAGGTCAATTCAGACCCCTCACCTCGGGAGAATGTGGTGAGTACTAGGCATATGGTTCCCCTTACTCTACACTCCATGGTCTGCCTGGTGGGCAGCCAGTGCTCTGAGGGGAGAAGAAGGGCAGATAATAAAACCAAGACCTTGAACTTTCTCCAAGGATCTCATGGAATTGGGCAGGGATGAGAGCTCTGCAGTCACTCCAAGGGGGGCGGGTACCTGCTTTCAAGAAGTTCCCGGCCTGACCTTATGCTTTCCAAAACACTTGATCTTATCTGGTTTTACCCATTTTGTAAGAGGTCAGTGAACCAGGCATCATCATTCCCATTTTTCACCTGAGAAAAGTGAGTCTCAAATGTTGAGTGAATTGCCCAAGGGAACCAACCCATATGGCCCTCCTTGTTTCTGTCTGTCTCACCACCTCTGCTTTTTTTGTCTTCTCCATAGTTCCTTAGTTACCAGGACAAGAGGATCAACCATGGCAACCTTCCCCACTTGCAGCAGAGGGTTCGCTTTGCAGCCTCAGACCCTAGTCAATATGATGCCTCCATAAACCTTATGAACCTACAGGTATCTGACACAGCCACTTATGAGTGCCGGGTAAAGAAGACCACCATGGCAACTCGGAAGGTCATTGTCACCGTCCAAGGTATAGCCAGTTTCCTCTAGGCTCCCTTTCCCCACATTTCAGAATCAAGGGTGGCTTGGCTACTCTGAACCTGGCTCTGCCTCCTGGCTGAGCCTGTCTCACAATTACCTGCTTCTCTGCAGCTCGGCCTGCAGTGCCCATGTGCTGGACTGAGGGCCACATGGCACATGGCAATGATGTGGTGCTGAAGTGCTTTGCCAATGGGGGCACCCCACCTCTTTCCTACAAGTGGGCCAAGATCAGTGGGCACACCCACCCCTACCGTGCAGGATCCTATCATTCCCAGCACAGTTTCTACTCTGAAATGTCCTACCAGGAGTCCTTCCACAGCTCCATAAATCAAGGTGAGGGGGCCCAGAGAGAGGGAGGAGAGATGAGTGGAAGATCAGGACTTTGGAACCTGCTGGGACCTTCCCTGAGTCATCAGTGGTACCAAGTCAAACCTATAATCTCTGTGGGAGATGCCTCCTTTGAGCCTGTTTCAGAAATTGCTATTGAGAGAAGAGAAGCCATGGGGTGGGGGAGGGTTAGCCAAAAGCAGTATGGTTAATTTGGAAAGAACATGGTCTGACATAGACAGCTGGGCTTGAATCCTGGCTGGACCACTGATTGGCTGCAAGTGGCTGCAATTGGACCAAGTGGTTTAAATTCTCTGTGCCTTGGTTCATCATATATGAAAAGGGAATAAAAATACTACCTTCCAGGTACCTATGAGGATTAAATGGGGGTGAAGTGTGCAAAGCCGCCAGCACACAGAGAAGACGGCTACTATTCAAAATCCAACCAAGATGATCAGAGATGGAGAGAACCTTAGAATTCCTTTGATGTAGCTCTATCTTCACTACAAAGATAGTGAAAACAAAGATAGTACAAAGGAGGAATCCAAGGTTCAAAGAAGGAACCTATTTCTCTAAGGGCACAGAGTGAATTAATGGTGTCTCTGTCCTGTTGCTGACAGAGGGGTCTTTCCTTTCCTCTCTGTTTCAGCAGGGGGAAGGTGACTCATCTGGAGTGTGGAGTGGACCTGGGCGTGCGCATGCACACACTGTTCTTCCTTCCATCCCCTACCCCACAGTACCTGAGGTTGGGGTGGGGCTCTGAGACTTGCAGGACCCTCTGCCTCACTACAATCTCTGTGCTGCAACTTCAGTTTCAGGTCTATTGAACAATGGTGACCTGGTGTTGAAGGATGTCTCCCGTGAGGACGACGGGCTGTACCAGTGCACAGTGGCCAACCATGTGGGCTACAGTGTGTGTGTGGTGGAGGTGAAGGTGTCAGGTAGGTGCAATGGCCTTGGGGACCCTGTATCTGGACTGGAGGAATCTGGGCTGTCTTTTGGAGCTCCAGCTAGCTCTTTGTGCCCAATGTGTTGAGTATAGGTCTTGGCCTAGGGCAGCTGGGGAGCCTTCTGGGTAACATGCAAGCATAAGGGGTTAACAAGTTAACCTTGCATCTCTCTATATCGTCCTCACTGGGTGTCCCAGGGTCCTGAGGGCCCCTTTCTTACAGATACTCTGCCCTGGCACCACCTGGTTAGTCAGGCACCTGTTAGGCTGCAGAGAGCCTGACTGGCCTCTTCTTCTCTCCACAGACTCCCGGCGTGTTGGTGTGATCATCGGAGCAGTGCTGGGCTCTTTACTCTTGCTGGGCTGTCTGCTGGTGGGCATCTGGGGGCTCATCTGCTGCTGCTGCGGGGGAGCTGGGGCCGGCTGTGCCCGTGGTACCTTCAGCTACAGCAACGGCGGCAGTGGAGGGGCCTGTGGAGACTTGGCTAATGAGATCAGGTAAAACCTGATGCATGCTGCATGCTGCTGTGCAATAGGGAACTGGCACCCTGCCCCTCCTCACTTCTACCTGGCATCACAACCTTGCCCACCATTGCCACAGAGTGCTGGGACCACAGCATGTAGACATGCCATTCATTGCATGGCTTTTCTCTTTCCCCCTTCCCATGCCCAGTCTTCAGCTCTGTTCCCATGCCCCCATCTCCCTCTGTGCACCCCTCTCTGTCTTATCTAGACTGTAAGCTCCTGGAGGGCAGGGCCTGTATTCTTCCACTTTTCCCCAGTATTGAACTGGTGAGAACTCTGGACATGTTTATTTAAGAAGAGTTAAGAGTAGTGCTAATATCTTATATTAGAAACAAACTAGAAATAAAAATAGAACAAGACTTGTAGTGCTGATGATTATAAATAACCTGGGGATGGAGGAAAAGATGAAGACTGAGGGGCAGGAGGTGAGAAGAAAGGGAGAGAGGGCAAGGACAAGATTAGTTAAAGAAAGAAGGACCCGAAAGCAACTCCTTCTGGATCTCCAAGGTTCACCTCCTATTAAAGTCGGCGGTTCTGGGAAAGCATCAGAAGGGGACTGGAGAGCGCCTAGATGGGGCTGCATGCCTTGGGCGGTTGGACGAACACACATGGACAAGCCCTGTCTGCGCAGAACCGCTGTGTTTTCTCCGGTTCAAGAAGAGGCAGAGAGGAGAGTCGGAGAGGGGCAAGGAGGCGCCAGGGGAGGGGGCGCAGGAGCCGAGAGGTGGCCAACAGCCATGGCTTTGCTAGGCCAGCCCACACCACGTCGCCTAGGAGTCGGCTCACCGCCCACCTGTTGTCTCCACAGAGAGGACGCCGTGGCACCTGGGTGCAAAGCCAGTGGGCACGGCAGCCGCATCACCCACCTGCTGGGGTACCCATCACAGACCGTCAGCCGCTCTCTGCGCCTCAAGTATGTGCCTCCGCCCAGTGGCGGCCAGGAGGATGTGGCCCTGGCTCTCCACACAGCTGCTGCTGCCTGCGAAGCGGGCCCTTCCCAGGTCTTTGTCAAAGTCACCAGCACCGAGCCCTCCAACTGCGCCCAGGGGTTGCTGCCAGGCAAGGACGGCCTGTTGGTGTGAGCTCGCGTGGCTGCTAGGCTGTGCTCCAGCCGGAAAAGGGTGCGGGCTCCCTGTGTCATGGCGGGGGACAATCTCAGGCTGCTCAGACCCCGCCTGCCCCAGACCACCTGGAGGCTGCAGTCTGAAGGCATTTCCCTTGGGAAATGAGTAGGGAGGCCGAGCCCTGTCCCCAGAGTAGGAGGGGGCAGGGTAGGCAGAGAACGTCTACCTGGAGCCCTCTCTGCAAAACCCGCCTCCCTGCCTCGCCCCAGGCTCCCGGAGAAGGAGGAAGTATCTGAGAGAGACTGAGTCCGGAGGAGGCCTAGTATCCACAGCCAAGGAAGAGGTCCCCAGGGCAGGGCGGGTATGGGTCTGGCCTGAACTGTTCTGTGTGTGAGATCTGAGCTCTAAGATGGCAGTTTTTAACACAATAAAGAAACTGTAAGACCCGAGACAGGTGTCTTTGGTCCCATGGAGTGTTGTGTATGAGATTGGGTGGAATCTGCTTCAGTATCTGGACATCGCTCCCTGTGGTCCTGCATCTTCCTGCATTATTTCCTCTTTATATGGGGAGCCATCAGAGCTGGAAGGGGCTACCTAATTCTACTCCTTCACTACACAGATGGGGATACTGAGACCCCTCAAGCTAGATATAAAATCCAGAATCCTGATTTCTCTTTTATTGTAGATGGTCAGAAGTGGGGAAGCAAGGGGCTGGCAGGGATGATCTCTCTGAATATTCCCAGACTATTCTCAACAATAGTCTTTATGGCCCCCTTCTTTATCTGGCCCCCATCTACCCCATTCTGACTTTCTTATCTTTCCCACATGTATGTTTCAACAACTAGGAAGGGTTTCAGGGTCATGCTCTGGGGTAGAAAGTTCAAGTTCCTCTAACTAACCCCCCCTTTTAATGGAAAGGGGATTGACGTTTATTAGGCACCCAGTAAATCCCAGGTGCTTCTCAGTAGTTCGTCTTACTCAATTCTTACTTTAATACTATGGAGTTGTGCATTATCCCATTACACATATGAGGAAACTGAGGCTCAGAGGGATTAGGCATGTTGACCAAGGCCACATAGGTCATAACACAAGTTTTCATCCAGGCATGTTTGACTTTTAATTCTCTCTACAGCTTTCCTGATAAAGGCTATTACAATCTCTTCTTGAATACCACCAGTGGCATCAGTCTCTATCAGAGATTTGTTCTTTCTAATGGTTCCCACAGAGCTTTTATCCCTTGACTTGGGGAAGAAAAAAGAGACAATGGTGGCACAGAGGGAGCCAGGGACAAATGTCTTGAGGTAGAGGTGGGAAAGTGGGAGGTTCTTGGGGATATGTGGGGATACAGGGAGTGAGGGGATTAAACAGTGAGGTGAGCAGAGAACTGCCGGAACCATCCATTCCTTCATTTATTTGCACACATTTATGTATACCTGTAAGGTGAATCATTAGATAAAGAGTTAGACCTTTGGCAGGGCACTGGGCCTAGGAACATGTTTGCCCTAAAGCAAAAAACTGATTACGATGACTTGGGGAAGGCCCTCTCAGTCTGAGGATCCTCCAGCTCAGCCTCTTGCAGGGTGGTGAGAGAAGCAGGCAGCCAGCTGGCTGTATGTACAGGTTGTGTTTAATGACATCACCTTTCCCATTCCAGCAATCAGGAAGCCATGCTCAGACTTAGCCTTTGTTTAAAGGGTGAGAACAGTGAGGTTCTGGCAAAAAGAAAAACAAACACAAACAAAAAAACCAGTAAGCAGTAAGAGAGTTTTTTGTTTTTTTTTTTTTTATTAAAAAGCAGTAAGAGCCCTGGCTGGTGTAGCTCAGTGGGTTGAGCGCGGGCCTGCGAACCAGACAATCGTGGTTCGATTCCCAGTCAGGGCACATGCCTGCAGTTCCCTGCAGGCCAGTTCCCAGCAGGGGACGCACGGAAGGCAACCAGACATTAATGTTTCTCTCCCTCTCTCCTTCCTTCCCCTCTAAAGATAAATAAATAAAAAAATATTTAAAAAAAAAGCAGTAAGAGAGATTTTCTTTTCTTTTTCTTTTAAAAAATATATTTTATTGATTATGCTATTACAGTTGTCCCATTTCCCAACCTTTATTCCCCTGCACCCTGCATACCCCCTCCCACCTGCATTACCCCCTCAGTTCATGTCCATGGGTCATACATATAAGTTCTTTGGCTTCTACATTTCTTATATTATTCTTAACCTTCCCATGTCTATTTTCTACCTGCCATTTATGCTACTTATTCCCTGTATCTTTTCCCTCATTCCCCCCACCCCAGGCTGATAACCCTGCTTGTGATCTCTTTCTGTGATTCTGTTCCTGTTCTACTTGTTTGCTTAGTTCTTTTTTTTTTTTTTTTTTTTTTAGGTTTGGTTGTCCATGGTTGTGAGTTTGTTGTCATTTTACTGTTCATATTTTTGATCTTTTTCTTTTTCTTAAATAAGTCCCTTTAACATTTCCCATAATAAGGGCTTGGTGATGATGAACTCCTTTAACTTGACCTTATCTGGGAAGTGCTTTATCTGCCCTTCCATTTTAAATGATAGCTTTGCTGGATAGAGCAATCTTGGATGTAGGTTCTTGCCTTTCATGACTTCAAGTACTTCTTTCCAGCTCCTTCTTGCCTGTAAGGTTCCTTTTGAGAAATCAGCTAATAGTCTTGTGGGAACGCCTTTGTAGATAACTCTTTCTTTTTCTCCTGCTGCTTTTAAGATTCTCTCCTTATCTTTCATCTTGGCTAATGTAATTATGCTGTGCCTGGTGTGTGCTTCCTTGGGTCCAACTTCTTTGGGACTCTCTGAACTTCCTGGACTTTTTGGAAGTCTATTTCCTTTGCCAGACTGGGGAAATTCTCCTTCATTATTTGTTCAAATAAGTTTTCCATTTCTTGCTTTTCCTCTTCTCCTTCTGGCGCTTTTATGATTTGGATGTTGGAATGTTTAAAGTTGTCCCAGAAGTTCCTAAGCCTCTCCTCATTTTTTTTTTTTGAATTCTTGTTTCTTCATTCTGTTCTGGTTGAATGTTTATTTCTTCCTTCTGGTCCAAACTGTTGATTTGAGTCCCAGTTTCCTTCCTGTCACTGTTGTTTCCCTGTACATTATCCTTTATTTCACTTTAAAAAATTTATTTTATTGTTGTTCAATTATAGTTGTTTGCATTTTCCCTCCACCACTCCCCCCAACCCCAGCCAACCTCCCCCCCCCAGCTTCTATCTTCCCCCTTGGTTTTGTCCATGTGTCCTTTATAGTGGTTCCTGAAAACCCTTCCTCCCATTACCCCCTCCCACTTCCCCTCTGGTTACTGTCAGATCGTTCTTAATTTCAATATCTTTGGTTATATTTTGCTTGCTTTTTTCTTTTGTTGATTATGTTCCAGTTAACAGTGAGAGCATATGGTATTTGTTCCTCACCACAGCCTTCACTTTTTTCTATTTTACAACCATATTCAACCATTTCTGTGAGCATCCTGATTCTTAGTGTTTTGAACTCTGCATCTGATAGGTTGGTTATCTCTTCATCACTTGGTTATTTATTTTTTTCTGGAGCTTTGATCTGTTCTTTCATTTGGGCTATTTTTTTTTTTGTCTCAGCATGCCTTTTATATAGTAAGGGGAGGAGCCTTAGGTATTCACCAGGGCAAGGCAACTCATGTCACTGCCTTGTGGCACAGTATGTGGGGGGTGGGGGTCAGAGAGGGAACAGTGCTGCTTGTTCAGCTCTCATCCTGCTTTCAGTCTCTTCCTCTGCTACCCACAAGCAAATTGTACTCTTCTGATGCTGATTCCCAGGTGGATGGGTTTGTGTACATTCTAGGACCCTGTGGGCTCTCTAACAAACTCTCCTGTAAGGCTGGGAGTTTCTCCCACTGCTGGAACCCCCACAGGTTTTTTCAGTCAAGAGGTTTTGAGGCTTTCTTTCCCTGTGCTGGGACCCGGGGTTGCGAGGTCTGTCTCACTCCCCAGTTTTTCCTCCAGGTTTATTTGCACACAAATGTGGGACCAACTGGTCCATCAGCCACTACCTATTCTGGTCCGCCAGCTGCTGCCTTGCCCACCCAGGTCCTCTCCGCCCCAGCTGCCTGTCTTTGCCCCTCCTACTTGTCTGGATGAATGTTTCTTCTTTAACCCCTTGGTTTTTGGACTTCCATACAGTTTGATTTTCTGGCAGTTCTTGTTGTTTTTGTTTTTAAATTTGTTCTTGTCCTTCTTTTGGTTGTGTGAGGAGGCAAAGTGTATCTACATCTTGGCCAGAAGTCAGTAAGAGAGATTTTAGAGAGACTCTGGAAACAACTTCCTGTTAGGGTGACTCACCAGGGAAGCCAGGGAAGTTCCTCTATCCCAGGCTGGATGGCAGTCATCATTACTGTAATTACCACTGCTTGGTGAGTGGGGAGGGAAGTTTCTGCTCCTAGGATTTTGCTTCAGGGACCCCTTGGTTGTTTGTCATTTCTGCTGCATAAAATCTTGTCAGAGTTGGAGGGGAAGTCTTGCAGTGGTAAATATTTAACAGTGAATTTGGGAGAGGTGGAAGTGTATAAGAGGCAGGGAAGCTGTAATTTATACCATTTGCCATTTCTGTGATACAGATTTTTGCACTATGACTGATTTCAGGTTGCTAACATGATGTTCCTGGTATGGAGTAGGGAAAATGAACAGTAGCACCCCACTGTAGAGTATTTCCATTGTACAGATCTCATAGAAGTTGATAACCTCAAGAGGTAAGAAAGAGTGAACTATAGTAAAATAATTAGGAAGTGATGAATTTTGATTATTGATCTTTGTTTTATATAACTTATTTAATTGCAAGTTTATATAATTTAAATTTCAATAATGGCTGCATTTAACAACTGGCTTGCAAAACTTAGGTGGATCATGTCATCAGGCCAGAAGAAGGCACACATGCTGCCTCAGAAGAGGGGATCTCAAGTACAGTCCTGATTTTTCTCTTTTTTTTTCATAGAGACACAAACAGTACAGTTAGTTATCTCCATTCTAATTCCCAGTTTGATTTTTATGTCTTTCCCTAGCCTTTTTGGAGCTGAATTCTGGTTCCTGTGGTCACTGAAAAATTATTTAGGTAGTTTATTTATCCTCGGTAACCACCAGAAACCTAACTTGGCATCCAGCCCTGGGAAATCTATTCAAGAAACATTGAGTCCTTCCTGACTCGGGTTCATCTCTGATCTCTTCTCAGGTTTTAGGAAGTCATCCTCTAGTAATTGTCCTTTAAGCCACAAATCCTCAAGACCAATTTCTTTCCTTGTGTTCCTATTAGCATGTGTGCTTCCCAATTACATTTCAGTTACTCTAGGCTTGGTCAGACTGGAGTGAGTCTGCAGAGGAATGAATGTATTTTCCT